CAAGACACTTAATTAGACCACGGCGTGAATTAGCGGCAATAAACTGATGTCATTGTGGCGCTGTTGTCGTAAAGATTGAGGGATTTCCAAAACTGTTAGTACTAGAGATAACACAAAAAGTCACAATTCAACGAGCCAATGACATTACGGTGAGAAAAGCAAAACGCAAACCTCGAGTCTTGACGATTTGGACCAGTCCACGGTTGTGTACTTGAGCCCTGGCCTCAGCCGTCCATACTGATAAGCAGGTGGAGGAGCGTTGTTTTAGATAGCGAGTAATACAAAACAATTCTTCTTGGATTTTAAACAATATTTTTTTTTTTTCCTGGTCCGATTGTCAGCAACCCTAGAGGTGGCAATCTTGTGTTTGTCGCATGCTCTCGTTCAACGCAGCCTGGGCTAACCACCTAGATTGGAGCTGCACGCTCGATTGAACATGTCTCACGTCGTTGATTATTGAAGCTATCGTAGCCGACACGTGGTGGGGAGTATGAGATCCTACGATCTTCGGCCTTTCTCAAATCACAATTACGTTTTACCCTTTCTGAGATCTGAGATCTGAAAAATCTTACCTGCCATGCGACTACGGAGCGGCTCAGATTCCCCATGGCTGCATTGCTGAACCATTCAATTGACCATCTCTTTTCCACCCACTTAAACTCCCCTCCATGGTAGCCACCCCCTCTCGCATCTCAGTAAGCCATTGCCACTTTGCCCCAACCCCCTCCACACCCCCCAATTCCCTAAAAACCCAAATTTCAATGCGCCTTCTGGACGATCCTGACTTATGTTCCGAGAACCTACCTGCAAAGGGAAGACGGAATACGTCAAGGAGGGGCACTCGGCCTCACCGATGAGGGAGGGGCCTGGAGCCTTGTCGGAGTCAAGTCCGAACGGTAGCATTGTAGCCAGTGATGTCAGCGGGGCAACCGGTGAGGCCGGGCATCAATTTGCAACCAGCCCCGCAGAAGCAGCCAAACAGTTAACTACGAAACGGGCGTGGGAATTTTAAAAACGCTTCCGGAGAAACCACCAACAATGAACACCGCAAGGGGACTACCATCACGAGAGAACAAAAAATACCACCGGTTGTGAGGCCAGCAACAATGGCTGGATCAGGCGGGTCTTGTGCGATCGCGGCCCGGGCCATGTGACTGGGAGTGAGTCAAGACGACTCTGAATCGCACGAGCTCACAGGAGGGCTAGCCGCAAAATGAGGGATTTCAACGTTGGGCGTCACAAGACGGTTTTAAACGATCCAACGGGATGATTCATTTTTATGGGCATGAATGGGCAGTGCCCTCGGATAAGCGGAAGCTCGGCGCCGGGCATCGGTTTTTCTCTGGTTCGTTGCCAGGCATGTCGCCAAATCGCTTGTGCTTGGGTGGTGGTGCCGGGCTGTGTGCAGTACGTGTGTCCCGGGCGACCAGAATGTGAAAAGTGGAGCCAAGTGAGAAACTGGGATTGACCGCCCCTCGCCATCGCAGTCAAGTGAAAGACGGTCCACCGACCAGGTTTCGGAGTCAGAACAGGAATATGTCAAATTCTGACTCTGACACCCCTGATCCTGGACCGCTATTGGCTCATTCGGGCCCCTCCGCATATCCGAGGCCCCAGCTTTTGCGCGGTAGGCCTCTGGAAAGTCGCTGCAGGGCGAACGGAGATGCCGAAAGTCTGGGGTAACCTCACCCATTATATAAGGCGGTGAAATTCCCACCTACCGCACCTTTTTTTTCTCCATAGTAACCATGCCTTACACCAAAATTGACGTCAACGAAGAAGAGCGTTTTTTCCAGGACCAGGTCGCTGAGCTCAAGCAGTGGTGGTCTCAGCCCCGTTGGAAGAAGACCAAGCGTATCTATTCTCCAGAGGAGATTGCTGCCAAGAGAGGCTCGTTGAAGATCGAGTACCCATCTTCCCAGCAGGCTAAGAAGATGTACAAGCTCTTGGGTGAACACGACAAGAACGGTACCGCCTCTTTCACCTTTGGTGCCTTGGACCCCATTCACGTGTCCCAGATGGCCAAGTACGTCGACTCCATCTACGTTTCTGGCTGGCAATGTTCCTCCACCGCCTCCACCTCTAACGAGCCATCCCCAGATTTGGCTGACTACCCTTACGACACTGTGCCAAACAAGGTTGAGCACTTGTTCTTCGCTCAGCTTTTCCACGACAGAAAGCAGAGAGCCGAGCGTTTGGGTATGACCAAGGAGGAGAGAGAGAAGACTCCTTACACTGACTTTTTGAGACCAATCATCGCTGACGGTGACACTGGTCACGGTGGTTTGACTGCCATCATCAAGTTGACCAAGCTCTTCATTGAGCGTGGTGCTGCCGGTATCCACATTGAGGACCAGGCCCCAGGTACCAAGAAGTGTGGTCACATGGGTGGTAAGGTCTTGGTCCCAGTCCAGGAGCACATCAACAGATTGGTTGCCATCAGAGCTTCCGCTGATATCTGCGGCTCTGACCTTTTGGCTGTTGCCAGAACCGACTCTGAGGCTGCCACTTTGATCACCTCTACCATTGACCACAGAGACCACTACTTCATTGCCGGTACCACCAACCCAGACTCCCCAGAATTGAGCTCTTTGATGGCTGAGGCTGAGGCTTCTGGTATCTACGGTGACAAGTTGGCCGCCATTGAGACCGAGTGGAACAAGAAGGCCGGTGTCAAGTTGTTCTCTGAGGCTGTCATTGACGCCATCAAGGAGTCCAGCATCTCTGACAAGGACGGTGCCATTGCCAAGTTCACCGCTAAGGTCAACCCATTGTCTGAGACCTCTCACAAGGAGGCCAGAAAGCTTGCCAAGGAGATCTTGGGCAAGGACATTTACTTCAACTGGGACGCTTCCAGAACCAGAGAGGGTTACTACAGATACATTGGTGGTACTCAGTGTGCCGTCATGAGAGGTAGAGCCTTCGCTCCTTACGCTGACTTGATCTGGATGGAGTCGGCTTTGCCAGACTACGCTCAGGCCAAGGAGTTCGCCGACGGTGTCAAGGCCAAGTGGCCCGAGCAGTGGTTGGCCTACAACTTGTCCCCATCTTTCAACTGGAACACCGCCATGAGCGTGTCTGACCAGGAGACCTACATCAAGAGATTGGGTAAGTTGGGTTACGTCTGGCAGTTCATCACCTTGGCTGGTTTGCACACCACCGCCTTGGCTGTGGACTCTTTCTCCAAGAACTACGCCGAGATTGGTATGAAGGCTTACGGCCAGCAGGTCCAGAAGCCCGAGATCGAGGGTGGTGTCGAGGTGGTGAAGCACCAGAAATGGTCTGGTGCCGAGTACATCGACTCCTTGTTGAGAATGGTGTCTGGTGGTGTTACCTCCACTGCTGCCATGGGTGCTGGTGTCACCGAGGAGCAGTTCAAGGAGAAGGCTGGTGGCAAGTTCTAAGTGCCCCTACTAGTTCATATTTTATTACATTGAATATAGCACTGAGTTGTAGAGATATTTTTCACAAGTGAAGTACAAGGTCTTGTGGCCCCTTGCGGCATCGAATGCGGTATGTAGTATGCGATGTATTTCGCAGCCATTATCTCTTCTCATCCTCAGCTCATGGGCTTTGTGGCTCCAGGACTTCGATATAGACGGAAACAGTATGGGAGACGACCACCAAAGCGTGAGTATTCTTTGAGAAGAATCCTTGCTGTTCCTATAGACCGCCTGAAGGTTCGCCGAGCAAGGACATCGAGGCTGCCAAATGAGGCATCGGACTCCATCCTCGAAAGACTACCACACGATATATTATGGGAGATCTTTCTTCTAGCAGGCATATCCAATGGCCTTCCTACGCTGTCCAAGTACTTTAACGAGGTGTTGAGAGCGCCCAAATTGGTCGAAGACGACCTGTCACAGGGATACAACCGATGGCTCTTCCTCAAGGTGCTAGACCATTCTTTGATCCATGATCTTAATGTGAATGTGAAGGATGGGTGGCTAGAGAAGTTCAGCAATGCTGCTGAAGGCTACGACACTTCCGTGGAGCCTGCTCGGTCGATCACTGTTATGCAACTGAGGGAACTTAGCAATGTCTTCAATGAGCCTCATGCCATAGATGTGGACACACTCAACCGCAAGTTCATGAGCGGTGCAGCTTTTGAAATTATCAAGAAACGGTATCCCAGAATTCAAGTCTTGACAGGTGAAGAGATAGCTGCTCAGATCGAGCACCGTGACGCTCTAATATCCTATAGGTACAATGTGTTAGTTGAGGCGCTTAAGAAAGCGAAGGATGTGGACGAAAACACTGATCCCAAGGAGATAATAGATCAGGTAGTGAAAGAGAAAGACCTTGCTGCTCAGGCAGAGTCGATACCTATTCAACTGCTGACTCCATCCTTGATACTACCGACGTCTCTTTATAAGAATTTGAGCCATGAAAAAGCCTTGATGATAAGAAGCTTGGTGGAAACATGCCGGTGTGAGTTTGAAAATGAAGTACCTTATCTCAGAGCCTGCTTCGACCGTCTACCTTATGAACAGTTTCCCGTATACGCTAAGCATGGTGGACGTCAGATGAACTACACTGTTGACGATTTCAAGCTGTACGTTGAGTGTATTGTTAAGGTAGAGAAGTCGTCCGATGGAAAGCAACAGGAAGATGACACTCTACAGTGTCTTTACAGCTTAGCTGAACGTGCACTTGATAATTGTCCCATCAAGGACCATGAAACTCTACAGGAACTAGCTTGGTTAACCCTGGAAGTCCAGCTGCGTATACTACGACAACTTCTTTCGGCCAAGTCGATAGAGTCGCTAGACGACATGTAATGTTAATGAAATGAAACGATAGATTGAACCGTGGATAATTGTAGTTAGTGTCTTGAGCCGAGGGTCTGGGTATCTCAGTCAAAGCAGAGACAACTCTTGCCTACTGTGTCACATAGTTCTAGTGATGTAAATTGTGTATAGACCACTGAATAGCATGCAGCGTTGTGATTACTCCGGACAACGCTCACCGTCAGTGTTCCCGCACTGATAAGCTACCTCTCATTGTTGCTGTGGTTGCTGTTGTTGGTGCTGGTAGGGGTCCGCCATGGGCTGCATCATGGGATTTGGTGTGGGGTTTGCAATCTCATGGAACCATGGGTGCTGCAAGGCCTGTCTGGCCGTGATACGTGCTTCCGGACGCATCTGTAGCAATGATGTCAATAGGTTTAATCCCATGGGATCCAAGTTAGGCACAATCAAGCGCAAGTCTTGAGGCACAAATATCTGCCAATTGTTTTTGAAATTTGGGTATTGAGAGACGCCTGGCCATGTTCTCTCGTTCGGCGTGCCCATCAAGCGGAAGATTTTGTTGAGCTGGTCATCATTAGCGGTTCCTGGGAAGAGTGGCTTACCAGTGCACATCTCGGCAAAGATACAGCCGGCTGACCAGATATCGATGGAAGTGGTGTAGGCTCTTGATCCCAACAACACGTCAGGTGCTCTATACCACAAAGTGACGACCTCGTTCGAGAAGGTGTTGAAAGGAATACCAAACGCACGGGCCAAGCCAAAGTCACCAATCTTCAATTCACCCTTCTGGTTGATCAAAAGATTCTGTGGCTTCAAGTCACGATGCAAGACGGAGTTGTCATGGCAGAACATAATGCCCTTAAGCAATTGAAACATGAACAGCTTCACAATTTTCAAGTCCAAAGCTCCGTTCGTGCCGTGAGTCTCCATGTACTTTTTCAAGTCTTTGTCCATATATTCGAACACAAGGGTCAACTTGTTCTCGGTGTGGATGACATCGTACAAAGTCACAATATTTTCATACTCCAATTCTTTCATCAAGGAGATCTCACGAATAGCTGTCGAGGGGGTACCTTCTTCAGAATCCAAACTAATTTCCTTGAGAGCCACTAGAGCCCCAGTGGCCCTGTTTCTACCTTTGTACACGGTAGCGTAGGTACCTTCACCAAGCTTCTCGAGCTGCTGAAATCTGCGGTTAGTTGATTCGACTTCCTTTCAAATTTTCTTACATACTGAGACGAGGACCCTGTCATAATGGTGAAGATTTAATCAAGGCGCGTTGGCGATAATAAGTTGTAGTAGGTTGAAACGTGCAGGAAACAGAGATAGCTTTATATAGATCTGAAGGAGTTGTAGGTTTGGTTAGGTCGCCAGCTCCATTAAACCTCTTTTAATTCGACCAACCTCGATTGATTTCACTGTTGACTGCAAATTTCATTTGAATATTGGTTTTACACCTCTATATATAGATCTGTCGATGGATTTCGGTCGTTGCTACGTAAATCAAGACATAGCCATTCAAATGGAAGAAAAAGTATCTGCTTGTATTCGACTCATTTAAAAATAGACAGGAAGCTAAAAGTAGCTCAAAATCTCTTGTTTTTGATTTTTGGAGACACTTTCATTTTTCTCACTTTTGTAGCTACTTGCAGATTGTACGAAATATTGCATAATTCGCAGCCATTTCTGGAGATTCTAACATTTCAAGTTCACCATCTTTCAAAATTACAAATTAATATTACATCAGCTCATTAATTCCGATATACACTCTAGTGATTCTTGGGGTTTTTCTTCATAAGTGCCATGGAGTTTTCGACCCAGCCTTCTGCACCGCCCTCTGTAGCGAGTATGTCTATAACTTTCATTTCAGTGATGTCCTCAGCCTCTTCAGCAAAGGCTTCTTGCTTTTTGATACCGATGATGGCGGCATTTCTCGTGCTGGGTATTCTCAAAATCTCTTTTTCGACGTTCCATCCCATTTTATTCGCCAAGTCTTCGACATGATCTACCAAAGCACCATAAGTAGACACGTTCTGTGGAGGTAACTTGGCCTTTGTGACAGGGTCGAAATTTGGTCTAGGATTGTACCTGATTTTAGCTCCACTGAGAGCATGGGAACAGCAAGGGATGACGACGAAAGGCAAGTTGAAGAGTGGCATCCAACAGGTGAGCTCGTCAGAGTGATTTCCTATAAGGAATGTGTTTGAAGGGAAGTCCTCTGTCGTGCAAACCTTGGATGATTCGAGAAGATTAGCTGATGAGTAGTATTTCATTAGCGGCACCTGCTTGGGATGAGGCAGATCAGCCTCAGGAACCTGGAATAGACGGCCATTGTTTGTGATGTGAGGCGCCATCTTGGCTACAGCGGGATGAGGCTTAAGAAGGACACCAGGAATGATGATTTGTTCAGAAAGGCATTTTTGAACTTCCGCTGGATACGTTTTCCATGATTTGCGTGCTCGAGCGTCTATTCCTCTTCCCTTGTAGCCCTCCAGGGTTAAGATATGCACAAGTAGCCCGTTGCCACAACCCAAATCGCAGAATTGGAAGTCCCCGCCTGGAAATCTATCGTTCCAAAGCTCTATGAGGAATGCAGCGACCGCTAAATCTTCAAAAACATGCTTCTTGGGATCTGTGCTCTCACACCAGTTTGCAACCAACTCTCCCAGATATTTCTTTTTCAAGGATATGTAGCGATTCTGGAAAGCAACTCGTGGCACAACAAGGTCATGCTTGACTCTCTTTTCGTATCCCAGCTTGGCTCCCGAGGAGTGTTTAGCTGACGTCTGGAGAAGTCTCAATGCTATTCTGAATGGTCGTTCTGCGAGGTCCATTGCCCTCATGTTGACGCCGTCAAATGGAACATAGTGGATCAGAAGCTTACCTTCGTGGAAAAGTATACCAACAGCCACGACGGGTGGTAGATAAAATGGAACCTCTTCAATATGCTGTATGTGGGGGATGTACACCACCAAGATGGACTTGGACAGGTCGCTCTGGAGCACCAAGCAAGTCTGATTGATGATATGGTCTTTGTAGGGGTTTCTTGGAATCATGCGGCGAATAACATTGTAGCTGTCTAAGAGCTTGACTTTCAGACCTTCTAGTGGTACTGTTCGAAGCTTCACATCATCAAGGTCTCTATGGAGTAGCTCTTGCTCGGACTCTTCGGAGTTGAAAGCAGGTAAATCTGGGTTGTAGTTTTTCGTTTCTAGGAGTTCTCCAGTCTCATTGTAACTGTTCTCTTCGAGAACATCAGCTCTCATGATCACGGTGGAGTTGATATTGGGTTCTCTTATAAGATTGCTCATAGCTGTGTTGAAATGCAGAGCCTCGAAGTCCACAGGCTCCTCATAGATCGGAATCCATGAGTCTCCTAGGATAGACTCTTCCGATATGAGGGCCGTGGGGTCCTGTTTTTTTGTCATGGAGTTCGTGATGCTAGATTATGGCTGCAACATTTTTCGCGATGGATACAAGCACAACTACCAAAGTTACCGTAATTCATTACAAATCTATGAAGTATGCGTCGCTGACATCCAGAAGCTTATGCTTCTTGTAGCAATAGTGACATTTAAAGACCTCGGATCCGCCTCGGGAAAGGTGTTTCACACTGTCTTTTAAAGCCAAATGCCTGCAATGATTGAAAACCACTACCGGGTTACTCATAGGAACCAATTTCTGCGAGGGTGATACAAGGGTGAACTTTCTCTTTGGGTCCATCACGTCTTCTTCCGAGATCTTTGCAACTGTGCTTAGTGGCACCAATTGCTCCTTTGACACTGGACAAATGAAAATGGGGTGATAATTGAACAAGAACCGGTTGGTGTCCGGCAATTGGAAGGGAAGGTCCTGCTTGAATAATTGAGTGATAGAGGAGTCATCCTTCTCACCATTGACAGCACCCAGACGGCTACCACGTCCGAGTTTGCGCTGAAGGTTATTATACTTGTAGAAGTTGGGGATGTTGATGAAACCTGCCAAAAGACTCTGGAATAACGACAGCTCACTCGAAAGCTGCATTGACGCACAGAATTCCGAGATAAACTTGTTGGACAAGTTTTCAAATAGCAGATGATTGTCATGGAGCAGGTCAAAGCAACTGAGGATCTCGCTTACGAATTCAACCTCCCGACTATGGCTCTTGTTCCTCGAGCCATACAGTAGGAATGCCTGAATGATATTCTCTTTGAGATGACTCTGATCCTCGCCATCGTCGTCATCCACTCTCTTGAAAAGCATTAATGTCATGATTGGAGCAATCTCATTGAGAAAGTCTTTGAAGTAGCGTGGGAAATGCTGTTTCGCATACGTGTAAGCGGCCAACGCAGAGTCGATTTGAGGCAGCAGCTTGTCCTCTGTAAGTCCCGCTAGAAGCAAGGCAAACTGTAGAACATGGAACTTGAAGGATATGTCATCACTGTGCAACAGAATTTTGCGGCTTTCCTGTTCCTCGAACCACTTGAGCACTTCGGTGAGGTCATGACGTTCTCTAATGTCCTCCACCATCTTCCGTAGCTTTCTGAAGTTATCTAGCTGACTGGTTTCGAGTTCAGCTTCACCAATCTCTTGTAAAAGCAGCTCTACTGCGTCCCTCTGACCAATCTTGAGCAAATGCAATATGATGGACTTTATCAAGTGCTGTCTGTTGTCCAGCTTTAGAATTGCCGCAGGATCACTATCAGAAAGCTCTTCTCTTTCTTGCTTCGTCACCTCCTTCACCGGGAAGGAGTTCAAGACTAGTGGGAATGGGTATGCATTGTCCAAGTCAACTCGGTACTTATGACTATTGACGATATTCTTGTTGAACTTGTTAATTTGGGAATTGTAAGTTTTCAAGTTGGTAATTGAGTTTTTGTACCATTTCAGGGTTGCCGTATCGACCTTTGTAGCGAACAGCAGAGCACTTTGATCTAGGTCGGGCTCATTTTCAAGTGTGGATTCCATATCTCGGAGTTGGCCAAGAATGTCTTCGGACTCCGATAGAAGCGAGTCAAGACTCGTCCTACCAGCAGAGTCAATGAGGTCGACCTCCTTGTTTAAATTGTCCAAGAGCTGAGTCATGGTTGCTTCTCAGAGGAGGAAGGCGATAAGGTGGTGGCTACCCCAGGGAGTCTAGGTAGGGTGATGCGTGCAGGAGGTCCCGACTTGGGCTAGCTATTATACGGGCAAAAAGTACTATGTGGCAGATTTCGAAGAGGTGAAATTCATTAAGACTATTTTTATTAGGCAATTGTTTGTAGGCTCAGCCAGGAGCCATTCTAGTCCCTCGCTATTCTACAGGCGGATGTTGCCTGCTGCAGTACGAGGCAGAACGAATTTGACGGTGTGGTCGAGAGGCGTAACCTGGAGCATTTATGCTCTCTTTTGAAAGTTTCGGAATTGTAGGATTGTCTCGAGTCGAGTATGGCATTCGGTTGTTCGGCCAATCTCAGGAGGGCGAGTGGGCCCACCCAAAAATGACATTCACATTTCGAACTAGGCCTCGAATTTCAATGTCATTGACCTGGAAAGCCGTTTAAACTGTGGTATTGTCATCAGCCGACAAGTGTCATCTGCACCCTGGATCACATCACTTTATATGTCCAAGTAGTCGGCCTTCACTAGAAGCTCAAGAGCTAGATGGGTGGGTATCTTGAACTCAGGAATCTCGCCCAGCTCCTCCTGGTCCTTATATTTGTAGTGATAGTGCAAGTAATTCACCACCACGTCGAGGATCTCGCCATCCATGTCCAAGTTAATCTTGCCGGTCTGACCCTCTTCAAACTCCTCCATATTTCGAAGCACCGAGGAAATCAGCGCCACGTCTTTCATCAAGATGAACTTGTGGTTATCAGAGGAAACAAGCGTTATATAGCTTGTGGAGGCGTCCGGTTGGGCCATGATGAAAGTAAGGGCAAGTATGGATCTTGATTTCGCGGTGAGCAGAGCTACTTAGCACAGGAAGAGCCACACAGAGGGATGGTAATTGGTGCACTAAAAGCTGAAAAGTTTGTTATAGGTCAGATCTGGATGTATCAGTAGGTCAAATTACTTTTGAATTTTGGGCTCAAGCAGATGCCATCGTTGAAGTCGTGTATAACTTGTATCGTTCCCATTGGCAGATGAGAATTTTCGAAGGGCTTTGTAAGTGCAAACCTTCAAAATCTTCCTAAAAAGAATCAGCTCATGCTCGATGAATGGGAGTAAGCAATTGACCTCTTCTTCTTTTTAAACTATTGATAATGTGGCACTGACGTAAACCAACTAGAAGTCATTGCGCCCAAATCAGCTGTTCATCTTCCGAAACTGATTTTTCGAAACCATTGTAACATTTTTGTTCAGGATTTTCCAACGAATTTATGAAGGCAAACTTCGGAGTCAATCACGGTATACCTAACTCTCGATCGCTCCCCATTTGTAGTACTTCTAGTTTCGCAGCCATATTTATCTACACGAACTGCACTGATAACTCACCTTCCTTACATCCACACAGCCAATGCTAACGAATCCAAGTCTTTCATGGCAGAAACTCCATGACGTATACTATAGCATCAGGACATGCTACGACTCCTTGAATTGGTCTATTGAGAACCTCTTCTCCAATTACCGGGTGGCCCTTTCAACATACACCACCTTGATAGCATTAGCCTCAAGACAAGCCCAATACCCAAACGTGATCGATGTGTACTCAATTAGCGGGAATAAGTTGTGGTCTGTGATATTCAACTCCACACCACAAGAGCACATTGTCGATTTCACGTTTTATAACGAGGACTTGCTTGTGGTGCTCAGCAGCGGCAAATACAGACTCTACACGGACTTCCAAGGAACATTCAACGAGTTTTCTTACAAAGAAGGCCTTTTGAGCTTGAGCGGACAAGAGGATGAGGCTAGCAAAAAATACGTTATCACCAACCTCGAGAATGATGAAACCGAGGAAGCATTTGATGTTATTGAAGCACAGGTCTGGGGCAATTGCCTCGTGCTTCGGCATAAAAACAGGATTACACTCTCCAATTTGGAGACATACCAGAACTTCGATCTTTCACTTAATCAATTTGACTTGATGCTGGTGAATTGCATCGCTCTTCTCTCGGCCCGTGAGCTGATTATCGAGTTTCTCCTAAGCTACTCGAACACTATTTATATCGTGAAACTAGATTTGACTTTGCAGACTGCAAGCTTTGATGATCAAAAGCTTACTGATGGACCGTTCTCGAGAATATCAGTGTCACATAACGGCTCTCTCATCTCGATATTCAATGAGAAATCTTCCAAAATATTCGTTGTTCGAAAACTGTTCGACAAAGTTTTGCTAGAATACGATACGTCTAATGAATCAAGTACTCCCTACATGATTGAGTGGGCTGGTAACGATGCCATCATTTTGTCCTTGCGAGACGAGATCAAGTTGATTGGGCCAGACCAGATATCCATTTCATTCTTTTACGACATTGTTGATCAAGAGGACTTTGATCTCGATCAATTGCTCCGAGAAAGCCCAGAATCAGACCTTTCATTCACTATTCCAATAATCAAGTCCGAACCAGATGGACTCCGCATCATAACTTCGAATAAGGTGGAGTTCCTCACTCGAGTACCTCAATCATCGATCGATATACACCTGGTTGGATCTACCCATCCGTCATTAATACTATTGGATTGTGTGTCCAAACTCAGGGAACAGTCACTGAAAGCAGATACAAACATATCACTTCTCAAGAGTGAAAAATCCCTCAGAGAGGCTATGTCAGGGTGTTTGGACGCTGTATTACACGAATTTGATCCCCAATGGCAGAAAACAATTTTAAAGGCCGTCTCATTTGGCAAGATTTATGACAATGATTACTTCAACGCCGAAGAATACCTCAGAGTTGTCAATATCATTAAAGTGCTTGACCAAATCCGGTCCGCAGAGTTTGGTCTATTCTTGACATACGAGGTCGTGACTATAGTGGGCTGGGAAACTGTGATCCGAATGCTTTTGACAAGACAAGAGCATCTCTTAGCTCTCAAGATCATCGGTTTGGTACAGCTCCCTGATCTCACAAATTTGGTGTATTCGCATTGGTGTTGTTCCAAAATCAGGAAGGAGCTCAATCTCTCAGACTATGAACTCTTCAAAATTGTGGCAAAAAAACTAATATCGTTGGAAAAATTCACGCCAGGCGACATGAAGAGGAATCATATTTCTGTGCTTGATATCTCTAATGTTGCTTACCAAGAGGGAAGAGTTGATTTGTGCAAGCTTCTCATCAATCTTGAGCCCTCAATGTTGGCTAAGATGAAGGAGTACTTGATGATCGAAGAAACAGAGCTTGCTCTTGTAAAGACTTTTCAAGCAGGTGATCTCGATCTCTGTCGTCTTTTACTCCTCCACCTTCAGAATACTCTTCCGAAGCTTCAACTCTTCAAGCTTTTGAGTCAAAACGAACAAAGTGGTCTTTTCAAAGACACGTCAGCAAGACAACTTCTCAAGGATGAAGAAATTAAGGTGATATTGCAAGACAACTTATTCATAAGCGGTGACTTGATCGGGAACTTCTGGGTTCAAAACATCGCAAAATACAACGCTTCTCTTGTCGATTCCTACTACAAGAACGAGAGCAAATCGCTGGAAAGAAATTTGGCCAAGGTCAAGAAGTTTTTGAAAGAAAACGACGTCTCGGACAACAGCAACTACGAGGAAATTTTCCAAGTTCATAAGCAAAAACTTCACGGGTTGTTGAACAATCTGAAGTACACTAAGCTCATTCAAAGGGAACTAGCAATCCTAGAACTCAAGAAAAAACTCTCTGAGATGTACCAAACAACATTTTTTGGAGTCAAATCACTCACAGATATACTTGTGAAATTAATCAAAATGCATCAGATAAAAACTGCGGCTAAGATCGTCAAGGATCAAAAGTTACCACAAGAAAAACTTTGGCATTTGGTGCTTGAGGTGTATTCCAAAATGGGGGAGTTTGAACGTCTACATAAGTTTATTACCACGAATAGCAGTGGCAGTAAGCTAAAGTCCCCAATTGGAATGACAGTCATAGCTCAAACTTGCATCAACTATGGGGCTCCGAAAGCCTACATCTCGGTGTACATTGGTGCCATTAGTGATTCTACCTATCCGAGAGTAGTCGATCTATTCCTTCAGATTGGTGAATTCAAGTTGGCAGCCGAGGAGGCTTTTAACAATAAAGATGCCGATATGTTACGAGGTATCTTGAAAAGAGCCCGGGGCTCAAACGAGGATACCATTTCTGTGATCAAAAGCTACATCTCGCGTATTTAGATTACCCAATGTTCCAATATATTACTCCGGGTCGCTCTCGAAGCGACCATTTCTAACCTTACCACATTTAATACCCTCTTCGCCCGTCAACCACCTTGGGATGGTCCTTGGGTCGACGACAGCCAAATCCTCTTCAAATGCATTAGCGGCCAACTCATGAAGTCCCGCGAAGACGTCAGCACCAATAAGTTTCATAGTAACCAGTGACGGCTCGTCATCATTTTCTTTTACTCGCTCGTTCAATTCAAACTGAACAAACCTTACCGGGGCGATGGATGCAAACTCGTTCTCTGATTGTATCTCCAGCTGTCCATTGGATACTTTTGCTTTCTTAAGCGGCCTAACATCATCATAGAGTCTTGTAGACTTGAGAGTTCCTTCTGGGGTACCCTTAAAGCGAATATTCGCAAGCTTTCTGAAACGATCTTCCTTGGAGACTGCAGTCTCTTTTTTCGCCTTGTGATCTAGCTGCTTGGAGATACTTGCGAGAGGAGAACAGTCTACCGTTCCGTCTGCGTAGGGCGTCCATGCACCCAAACTGTTGCCGAATCTAGAACAGCCTTTCAAGATATGTATGGCCTCGAGGGACCTGACAGCTTTCTGATTTGACGGAGTTGTTAAGCGATGTTGATCACGGCGATTGTGGGAGAGGCAGTTTTCCACCACCGTGAGAATTACTTGCGAAACAAGGTCAGCTCCAGGCGAATGTATAAGATGTGGCGAATTGGAAGGAAATGCCAAAATGTATGGTTTATGCGACGTTATATGTGGATGCTGTGTTCTGGATTGCTTTCTTCCACGACTTGGTTGGGGCATTAAGTCAAAGACTTGGACACGAACTAGTATGAGGGGCAATTTCGGGTGCTTGCAAACGTAGATGTACGACATGAAAAGCTTACTCAATTCTGCTGCCAAGGCGTCGAGAAAGATGGAAGGATCAAGTGATAAAGGAATCTCCTCATTTTCGACATTCCTGACAGTTGACAGGTTCCACAAAAAGGCACTGGAATTATCGACAATTAGCTGACAGTCGACTTGAGCTAACTGAAGAAGATTTAGACCCCGGCTCCAGTACTCATATAAGATTTTATCAATGATCTTGGCTTTAGTCCATTTCTTTTCATTCTCTTTCATTTCGGCCGCATCATTCCGTGCCATTCGGTTGAGCTCTACCTGGCTATGGGACGCATTCTCCTTATCTAGTTGGGGTTGAGTGTTTTTGAGTCGAGGCCAAAGCAGCATTAGCGCTATGAGACTCTGTTTTTGTAGTCTGTTAAGAACCGCCGTAAGCACATCTTTGGAAAGGACCGGAACGTACGTGTTCGGTAGCACGTTCTTGTGCTTTGTCCGTGTCATGGATTCGAATAGGATTGATCTGATCTCTAATGTTTGTATTTTGGTTACACATTTACACCCGTACACCACGACAGTTGAGAGTAAGAAATGCTTCCTAAAAGTGTAGTTTGAGCTATTTTAAAATCGAAGAAAGAATTGAAGCTTTTGAAAGTATACCACGAAGAAGGATGGGGAGCATATCAGACAATTTTTCTTTCCGTGGGTGAAGAAGTATGCATAAATGGCTGCAAAACGCGCTGCACCCCACTTTCCATGACAAGGTCACTACCAATTTGATAGATCTTTCCAATAGAAATTCGAAAAAGACACAAAAATCCTTGATCTAATTCTTTGCCTGAAAGAAAGTCGACACCATGAATCGAGATAATACGTATATGTCACACTGGTGGATCATAACCTCATAAAGTCATTGGTCGAGGAATTAGAGGTGGAGACTAAAAACATTTTAGTTCTTTTGAATCTTGTAAAAACAAATACAGTGAAGATCAAGAAATATATGGTCCATTCTTAATTTGGTTGTAGTATAGCGGGACTCAACTATTCCCCATACACTGATGGTGCAGTATAGGTCCATTTTTTTGAGATGCTCATCTCTGCGCTTTTCGCTAGTTCTCCACACATAATGTCTGAAACCACGGAAACTACCACCGTGAAACAAGAGGAGGTTGATGACAGCCTCGATAAAAAGACCCTCTTCGTCAGGGCAATTCCAAAAGAGGCAACCACAGCCGAGCTTCTGGAGTACTTCTCCCAGTTTGTTCCTGTGAAGCATGCCGTCGTTGTCACCGATGATGAAAAACAGTCCAGAGGATTTGGTTTCGTCTCCTTCACTATGGAAGACGATACCTTGACTGCGTTGGTCGAGTCCAAGAAGGTCAAATTCCAAAACAGATTCCTTCGAGTCGATATCGCAAAGAGAAGAGACAGAAAAGGTAAAGACAGCACCGAACCTAGGGAGAAGGAAGAAGCTGCACCAATAGAAAAGAGAAGATCCCGTTTGATCATCAGGAATTTGCCATGGTCGTGTAAGGACGCCGAAAAGCTCAAGAAGCTCTTCCTGAAATACGGTGGTGTTCACGATGCATATATTCCTACTAAGAAGGGTGGTCTCATGAAAGGGTTTGCCTTTGTGGTGATGAAAAAGAAAGCTGCAGCTGAGAGGGCCGTTAAAGAGTCTGTTGGTTTGAAGATCGACGGTAGAGAGGTCGCTGTTGACTTGGCTATTGAGAAGTCCAAGTGGGAGCAGGTTAGAGAGGAAGATAAAAGCACCGCCAGAGAGAGAGAAGTCAAGGAGGAAAGTGAAGAGGACGTTGAGGTGAAGGAGGAAGAGGACTCTGAGGTTGACTCCGAGAACGAAGATGACTCCGAGTTCGACGAACTTAATGGTGACAAGGTGAAGGAGGAAGATGACATGGACGAGGATGATGATGAAGAGGAAGAGGAAGAGGAGGAGGAAGAGGAAAAAGAGAAGCAGAATAGACAAGACGCTTACTCTGTCTTTGTCAGAAACATTCCTTACGACGCAGACAAAGAATCCTTGACTACCCACTTCAACCAATTTGGCCCTGTTAAATACGCATTGCCCGTGATTGACAAAGTCACCGGTTTGGCTAGAGGTTCCGCTTTTGTTGCATTCAAAAATGAAGATTCCTACAATGCTTGTCTACTGAACGCTCCATCCGTGTCGTCCACATCGATGTTGATTTCTGATGATGTTCTGCCTGAATATGTCTATCAAGGCAGAATCTTGTCCATTGTGTCTACAGTCGACAGAAGCTCTGCCAGTCGTCTTGCAGAGAGAAACCAGAACAAGAGAAAGGAGGTTTACGGCAAAGAGGAGGGCGATAAGGACAGAAGAAACTTGTTCTTGTTGAACGAAGGTCGTGTCACCCAGAACTCAAAGCTCGCAGAGGTCATGTCCAAGACGGATATGGAAGTGAGAGAAAAGTCTTACAAGATGCGTGTCCAGCAGCTTAACAAAAACCCCACCTTGCATTTGTCACTCACAAGATTGGCCATCAGAAATCTTCCTAGAGCCATGACTTCTAAGGCTTTGAAAGCCTTGGGACGTAAGGCAGTGGTTCTGTTTGCTACTGAGGTGAAGGAGCAAAAGAGACACCCATTGTCGAAGGAGGAAATCAGCCGTTCCACGAAAGCTAAGCACGAGTTTGAAGAGGATGTCAAGAACGTCGAGGAGGAAGAGAAGAAAAAGAAGACGAAACACACCGGTGTTGTCAAGCAAGCTAAAGTCATTATGGAAATCAAGGGAACTGGAGAAGCCGGCAGAAGTAGAGGTTATGGTTTCTTGGAATTCAGAGACCACAAGTCTGCTTTGATGGGTCTTCGTTGGCTTAATGCTCATGAGGTTACGACTGAAGAGGTTATGGCTGGCTTGAACGAGGAAGAAAAGAAGGTTGCTAGTCTTGAGGGCCTCACGAAGAGACGTCTTATCGTTGAATTCGCTATTGAAAATGCTCAAGTCGTCAAGAGAAGAAAGGACAAGGTCTTTATCGCCAGAAACAACAAGAGAAAGAGAGATGAAGGCGATGCTGGTGAAGAAAAGGATGATGATGCCCAGCCTTCAAAGAAGCAGAAGAAGGGTAAAAAGGGTAAAAAGGGCAATATGAACAAGGGCCCTAAACCACCAAAGGAGGATAAGGAAGAGAAGAAGGAGAACAATAAGTCTGGACTTTCCGCTGAGGTCAAGCAGATAATCGGCAAGAAGAGAAAGAACAGAAAGGGGAAGAACTAGGAATACATTTTGCATAAGTCTTAATGGCATCGTTAATATAGTTAAGTGAGCTGGGTAGCAGTGCTATTGTTCGTAATCATTAATAACATAGAGCCGCATGTGAGGGTGAGAGTACAAAAGAATAAAGAAGCAGCGGTGGCGGCGACGGCTCCACGGGGTCTATAATGCGTAACGGGACATCGAGGCGAGGGAAGTTGTTCTGGAAGCGACGCTACAAAAAGTAGTCGATACGCTGTTGCTTCGATGAGTTGTTTTTGGCCGCCAAGTCGCCGTCCTGGACCGCACTGAAGATCTTGAAGTTGGGCTCCAAGTCGCTGCCCACTTGCATGACACTGGCAACGTTACCGCATCTGTAACAATAGTTTGGAGCCGACCACACTGTGACGACATCCTTCTCCTTGAAATGGTACCTGAAACCTTCCATGACCAACTGATGCGCTCTTGCTATCAAGTCCAAGTTATTGATATGATTGAACTCACGACTGACTTTCAGGCCAAATAGCCAGCCAGCACCACGGGGCGAAACCGCCCATTTATCGATGTTGTCTGGGTCTGACCAGACCAAGTCACAGAATCCACCCTCATGAGGCACTTCCTGAGCCCTGCTCAAAACACGGATCTGATCCAACATCCGGATCTCCGGCGACAATCCGCCATGCACACACAAGATCTTGCCGTCGATGATGGCGGCAAGGGTTAAGAAGTCAAACACCTGACAGCAATACTTCCACACCGTCGTGGATCCGTATTTCGTCAAGCACTCGTCGTAAAAGCCGTAAACCTGGGTGATTTGTCGGGACTCGTGATTGCCACGGACCAAGGTGATGCGGTTGGGGAATTTGACCTTGAGTACCATGAGAAGCGTAAACGTCTCCAAGGAAAAGTAACCTCTGTCAACATAGTCGCCCAAAAAGATGTAGTTTGTGTCATTGTCCTCCGTGGGAAGACCACCCAGAATCTTAAAAAGCTCTAGTAAATCGTGAAATTGACCGTGAATGTCACCACAAACGGTAACTGGCAGCTGCACCGGCTGGATATTGGACTCCTCCATCAAAAGCTCCTTGACAAGCTCACAAAGCTGCTTCATGTCATTCTCCGAAAGCAGTATGCAGTTTTTGATCTGCTCCAACCACTGGTCGGGGCCTCGTTCTCCCATGCTGTAGAGAAAAGTGGAATTAAATATGTACCTGTTCAGGCCTGGCTTTCAAATGACAAATGATGTATGTTCGATGTAGCCCAGCCGAGGCTCCATACGCAGGTCAGACGTGCTCCAACTAGCTGCGAAAATTTTGACTGAGTCCGCACGACCAATATCAGAAGAAACACTCATACAAAACATGCTTAGAAGCACGATTCTTCGAAACGCTCCCGTGAGGACGTTGGCGGTGGGACGTGTTCTCAATAAGAGCAAAGCCTTGCCCTCGACGCCGGAAATGAAGTCTCGGGAGGCCTGGACTGAATCCACCAACGACGACTCCTTCATCACCAAAACCGTTGTGGGAATGGCCAGAAATATCCAAGAGACCAGCAAACCCCCTGTGCTGATTAGCAGAAGCTTCCAGAAAAACTTTGATTTCGGAGCTACCTACGATCCATTCGACTTCACCGCAGACAAGGTCGCCATAGAGAACAAGAGAAGATCCAAGAAAACGCCAGGTCTCCTCAATTACGACAAAGGTGCCCATGATCCTTTTGTGAAGGCTGGCATCAACCCTCTTGACTTGTACATGATGCCCGAAGTGTTGTCCCGCTTCGTCTCTCTTACAGGCCAGATTTTGCCCAGAGAGAAGACCAGATGTAACCCACAAAACCAGAAGAAACTCAGCATAGCCATCAAACGCGCCCGTATGCTCGGCATCATGCCAACAGAGCACAAGCACAGCCGCTTCACGCCGTTCCGTATCTTGTAAACGTGTAAATAGAACGCCTCAGTGAGGCATGGAATGAACAGTACGAATAGGGATTCTGTTGTAATGCTCTAAGCTGTACATCCAGTTGAGCTAATCAAGGAATGAGATAAGCTCCTGGATCTGAACGATGATTTAAAATACCTGAAAAGAGCATCAGGGAGATGATACATACACTTTCGGGCCTAATAGAAACGACCATAAACATCGAATTTAAAGAATGAGTCAATGAGCTCTGATTTTTCAATTAGAACATCGATAGAGATCGGGGTTACGATTAGCGGCTTGATCATTGGTTGCAAAATATGGAGTGATCAATGTGGGTATCATGTGGCGTTACTAAAACTAGTTTTGATAGTGACCGCCGTGTGTATGAAAATGAAGAGACTGGCTAACGGTGAGCCTTGAAATGTCTCGTGATACGTTGAAGTGACCTAGCTCATCACTCTGGTGCCAGTGGTTTGTCAATTGCAGAATCAATCACGATCCTTAAGGATCATTCACGATACTTATTGAAGAGCTCAGGTAATAAAGAAGCCTTGAAATACAGCCTAATTAAGTGAAACAGAGCATTTTACAGAGACTATTGAAACAATAGTTGTTGCAAGTTCTCACTAGACAGATCGTCATTGAGTAAGGCTCAAGACCCGATTTCGACAAAAAGGATCAGCACATTTTAACCTTTTCTTGATAAATAACTTTCATGGCCTCATAAACGAGCTATCAAAAACAATTGACCTCTATTCTGCGTCGTTCGCCTCACAATAGCTGTCAGTGCAGCTTTGCAGCCGTTGTGAGAACCAGAGCATTCCACCCCAATTACCTACGAAAATTTCCAAACGTCGGAATAAATCTACAAACGCCTTTCAAATTTCACGAACTTCATTTAAAAAGAGAAATTTTCAGATCTTCGCCTCCCCATCCACCGCAGTTTCACCGAGCCGCTGATCAGCTTGCTGCCAGTGCGAAATCGGAGAACACCATAAGATCAATCAAGGCCCGACTCACGCCACTTGAAGGTCATTCCCTCGCATACAAAAAACGAAAATCGTCTCCACACAGATAAGCTTTCAGAATCAGGCGAGGCAGATCCGGGGTAAGCAGCAAAGAAGGGCGAGTGGGACCATTGTGGCCTGCACACAACCAGGGGCACCAATAAAAAGCTCTGGTGCGAGGCCACACCTCGCAAGAAGCAATACCTTTTTCAAAAATCATATTCAGTTAAAACATGTTGAGACAATTGGCCGCCAGAAACACCGCCTCCGTGAGAGCCTTCTCGATTTCCAGAAGAGCCATGGTCGAGGGCCCAAGCAAGACCGACTCTTTCAAGGAGAGAGAGAATGCCCAGGAAGGCGCCTACATCAAGAAGCACGAGGCCGAGAAGTTGGCCAAGTTGAGAGAGAGATTGGAGGAGCAGAAGAAGGTCGTCGACAAGCTCGAGCAGGACCTTAAGGACCTCAAGAACTAAGCGCTGTAGCGCCGTCTGTATTTATGAATACAAGTCATGAACCTAGCAAACTGTAGAGCGGTGGGAGGGGAGATACTCGGAGGCTCCAATGCAATTGGGCAGCCAATCGATTAGTCTGGGGTTGAGTTTTGGAAAAGTGGGCGTAGATGACGATCAATTGCCACCCGTTGTACTTTGTGCTTCTCGTCTTTGAAAAGAAGCACTCAATTGAGAGATGAGATGCACCTTCAATTGAGCCGAAAACCTCAGTATATTAATCTTGCTTCCTTTCTCTATTCGTTTCATTGGAATGCCAGCCATTCCCTTCCCTGATTACTCCAGGTTGTGTGAGGCTTCTGCTCCTGAGTGACCCCATTGTTCGGCCACAGTGCCACTACTCCGGCTTGGCCGTGACAAGTTTCATAACCTAGGTGGCGATAACTGGTAATTGAGGTGATTGCTTCGGAAAGTGACGAAGGAGGAGGGAATTGGTGGGGTTGTGGGGGTCGAATTTGTGGTACAGAGGGCATTTGCACTGACTAAGTAGTACCAAGCTTCCATTAAGATAGTATCAAAAGTATTTGAAGAGCCTAGCGGGAGTGACCGTTTATCGATGTGGAATTCCAAATCATTATTACCCAAATTCGCCTCTGTTGTCTACTTCTCTAGCTCACTCGCAGCGGTCTTTGGCATATGGCGATAATGTATGGCGCTTACTGTCAATGTTCTCTTCCTTATCAGCAGTCGTAAGAGGAATTATCAAAATGAACCGCTTGTTTGAGACAGGGATAGATTTTAAGTTTTTAGATTTCTCTATCTAGGATTGAGAGCTAATTTTGAACTCCATTGATGCTAGTTGGCTGGGTGAGATAGGGCAATGGCATGGCTGTGCACTCAGTAACGGGTCCAACTTACATTTTTTCAGCTTTTAATTAAGAGGCGACTTTTTAAAGGCTGATCAATTCCCCAAAACTGCAATCTTAGACTTCCTCCGCTCTATACTCTCTCTAGGTTGCAAAAAGACCCAGGATTCAGCGCACAAATTAAGGTCCATTGTTCTCTGCCGAACAATCAGATCTCCCGCAACAATCTCTCGATATCGCTAAGGCCACAAGCGAAAAAATGCATATTGTCAAAACCTGGCCCGAACCAGCTCAACCCCACCTCGCCGCGGATAAAGGAGATTCGCCAACATAAGGTCCGATGCAGAAACGGCGATGAATACCTTGAACAGGATAGATTTACGGGCTCTTGCATGACTGTAGTTACAATTGACTTTCGCCAAAGCAGCTTCAAAAAATCTCAAATAATGAAATGCTCTATCCTGAGGGCTCTCGGGGGATCTGCGAATCTGAGCCTCGCTTACGCTTTTCACTTGTTCGTTGCAGCCAGCACAATTGCGCAAGTTTGCTGCCAAAGCCTCTAGACGATCACAAAGTTGAATTGTGGATCCACCTATATCTCTATAAGCATCTAACTATCACATCCTGAAATAATTGACCTTGTCACCATCAAAAAGCATTTCGTCACCTTATCTCCAGCGACCCCGTTTGTTAACTGCGACCCCACACTTCACATATTGTCTCCGAGACGCCTTGCACAGTTCTCCGACAGATCTAGCATAAATACAGCGCGATCTCCCCCTAAAAAAAGTCAATGGCTCTTCCTTCATTGAGTCTCGTTCTGAAGATCGCTACGGCGCCATGGGTCATTCTCAAGACCACTTTTGAGTACTACGTCACGGGTACGGTCTACACCCAAACAGACCCCGAATTTGACTCCTTAGCAAAAAACTTGAACGTTGCCACGGCAATCCACTTGGCCCAGGGTATCAGAGGCAGAGATGCTGATCTCGTCATGGGTCTGATGTACTCCTACTTTGCCCGCTACAAGAACATGCCTGCTGTTCTGGGACTACCGCATTATGGAGAAAAGGTTGTTGACGAGGAGACTTTGGCTTGGTTGGTGAAGCCAGAGGGTGCTAAAAAGGCCCTTCTTTATTTCCACGGCGGCGGATACCTGTTCCCCTTTGCCCCTCAGCAGTTTGCGGGTATGATAGGCGTTTGGTACGCTGTGGACAGCGAGAAACGCCAGGACTTGGCCATTGCCATGTTGGACTACCTGGTCACGTCACACGAAAAGTATTATCCAACGCAGATTTATGAAGCTGTCAAGGCGTACCGCCAATTGGTGGATCAGGGCTACGAGGTGATTCCAATGGGAGACTCTGCTGGCGGGAACTTGGCCCTTGCAGTGGCCCGTTTTGCAGCCTACCCTACTGAAGCTGAAGCACAGTTTTCACGGTACACTGACTTTAACTGGGACTTTCTGCCTCTTCCGCCACCTAAAACTTTGGTTCTCATTGCTCCATGGGTCCACACTGACAAGGGCGCTGCGATCTACCCCGGCGTGAACCACGACGGTGATTTTATCAGGCTTTCGGTCAACTCCAAGGGTGACCTTTACATCACAGGGCTGGACCGCAAGTCCGTGGCGCCGTTTGTGGATTTCAATGGCACCACTTATGAGGACCACTGGGCCAAGGTGCCTGCTTTTGTGGACGGCGCCATACTTTACATCTACGGTGAAAGAGAACTCCTTCGTGGATCTCAGGAGCTTTTCGCCAAGGAGAAGGACAAGGGCACGTTCACCACAAAGATGCAGCCGGGTGGTATCCACGACGCCATGTTCGTAGTGGATGTGTTGGACATCAACCTGAAGAAAGGCATGGCCGACGTGGTTGCAGGCAAGCACCGGTCCAAGTTCAATTTTGGAGCTGTGGGTGAATTTCTCGATAGCCGTCTTTAGGTCATTCAATGAAAATATGACGATTACTGGAGGTTGTAGTGCCGTTGGGGCTTAGTGGCTGCAAATGCATTGTGCTGGGTGCACTACAGAGGTAGCATACTTCGTTGCCTAAGCGAGGCTGAACAATGAAAGCAACAGAATAGATTTAAATGCCCTTCAGCAAATTGATTTGAGGATTTTTTAAAAATCCGATTGTAGTACCATTTACCTTTATTTTTTGCTCGACTGAAGATGTCGCCCCCTGACTTGTGTCGCCAAAACTACACAAAAATCGAAAGAAGTGAACGTTGATGAAGGTGAAGCGATGTTAACAAAAAAGCAGCTTTTTCATGGTCAACAGAAAGTTAAAGCAATTAGAGGCAAAACGAAGGGAAGTATTTTGGGATCTCTCCTCGGTTCCAGAGGCGGACCAGACCGAATAGGCTCTCAGACAAAAAAGAAATTTTAGCACACCTAACAACCCAGACTGGCCGTACTATAAGTAGTGTGCACCGGAAGCCAGTGGTCCATCTTAAGGAAGGCAATAACAACAATTCTAGCGTTGCCAAATCACTAAGTGGCAACGGTAAAAAAATAATTTTTAGCCTGCTGATCATTTCACTGCAAAAATGCACCAAATCCCTCTGTCACGCTGCGGCGCTTAATATTTCAGTACCACAACATCCTCCAAATCCAGGTCACCTACCTCATCTCGGCGTGAGATAAAAATAAATACGTCACAACCAAGCCACTAACGTCACGATGAAATCGGGAATGGTGCGTCTCGAGACGAGATGCCTCCTTGTAAACACCCTTCAGCCACTTACCTCATATTTGCCCGAACCAGGTTTTTCGGGTGTTGCCTTAGTTCTCTATTTTTTTTTTTTTCACCCCTCGTAAACGAGACCCTCTACAAGTTTTTTTCAAATGACCGGCATGAGTCCAGAGCACACAACCGCGCCCCCTCGGTTTGGAAGGGAAATGGACCCATATCGTTAGTATCCTCTTCAAATAACACTTGTACTGAAAACTTCAAAAGAAACCAAAAAAGAAAAACCGAAAAACATGCTGGTCCGCTTATTAGGAGCGCCTTCAGCGTGCAGCCTAGTGCTTGCTGACGTCAGCCTGCGCAGAGTCAGCACCCTCTCACATGCCTGCACTTATATATCCGTCTATATAATCATACCAACCACCTTTTCATAGTCATCATGTCTCAAAAACGATTATTGAAGGAGCTCAAGCAGCTACACAAACACCACCCGCTGCTTACAAATGCTCAGATCATGAGTTTGGAGCCGGTGTCGGAGGACTCCTTATACCACTGGAGAGCAGTCATAGCCAAACCAACAAAAGCAGACAGTGCCTACTACTATAATGGTCAGTGGACGCTAGAAATCTCGGTCGGAGACGCATACCCCAAGACCCCTCCGTCGGTGATTTTTGCAAAGAAGACGCCGATCTGCCACCCTAATATCAACATCGTTACAGGAGAGATCTGTTTAGATATCTTAAAGGACGAAAGCTGGCTGCCTGCTTGGAATTTGGAGCACATAGTGGTGGCGATTTTGATGCTTCTAGACGACCCTGAACCGGACTCGCCGCTCAATATCGACCTGGCCAACCTCTTCAAGCTGGATAAAGCCGCATTCGAGTCGGTGGTCCAGTACAACTTGTGGAGACACGGCACATTCTTCGAAGGTACCAAAGAGCCTTCTGGGGTGAAGCTGCATGCCATAATAGCCTACGATATGAGCTCTGAAGAGGAGGATGAGCCAGATCTGGAGCAGGAGACAGAACGAGATTCCGACAGAAGGGGCAACAGAGGAGGCCACGGAAGCGGAATCCTTGATGAGAGTTTTCAAAACCTTAGCATAAGTGGCGGCCTGAGTGGGAACGGCGCCACCGAGGGCGAAATCGAAAAGCTAGAAAGTGAGGCAGCTTACATTGCCAGAAAGCATGAGGAACAAAAGGAAGAGAATGTCAAGCAGATCCACCAAGTTGGCGAAAAAGTCACTCAGGAGTTCATCGAAAAAGCCAACGAAGTTGGTGCCAGCTCCCCAATCTGCCCCAGCGAAACCTTCCAGCTGATGTACATGCAAAGTGTCCACCAGCAGGTTGCTGAAAACGTTCTGAAGCAGGTTGAGGAGATCTGCCTTAAAAATGCGAGTTCTCCCCAGCCCAAAATCCTTACCACGCTCACAAAGTACCCGCAAGAAGATGTGGAGCAAGTTAAAGAGCGGTTTCTCCGGCAAGTCGACCAGCAGGTCGACGAAATCAGAAGACTCCATGAGCGGAGACAGGCTGTCGCCTGAGCCCAGTGAAAGTGATCTTCTGCCACGGCCTCTGCGAGAGTCGAGGGCATCCTTCACCAGCCTACGCTTCTGAGAAGCCTGCGTAGCATACGAAAAAGCAAACTGAAAATAGATAGCACCTAATGAATGAGTAATATGAATAATGGTAGGCGCGGAAGAAGGAGTTTGAGGTTCTAAATCTGGGGTAACTAAGTGGTCCACCTAATTGGTCCGCCCAAGCGAATTAGATAAATTTTGTCAGTTGAATCAAAATTCTGAACACTCAAGGATTTATGGATAAAAATGGGTATTTTGCTCTATAGAGACGTAGTACAGATACGCAGTGTACGACCGATTTCGCAGCCATCAGTTGTGAATGGTTTGATCTGCACCTCGCCTCTAATTTCTGAAACCCAATTCAAACAAATTTGAAAAAGACCCAGTTCACATAATTCAAGAATACCATAATCGAATTTTATTGTCGATTCACTCAGTCCCACTATCTCCTTCCCTGCTTACCCTTTTGGTCCCACCGCGGCTCCTACAGGAACTGGTTTATTTACCTTTCGAGAACCAAACAAACAAGTACTCATCATCACCACCATGGTTGTTGGCGAAAGCAGAACAGAGCTTCTTAACTGGCTAAATGCCACTCTCAACCTCAATTATTCCAAGGTGGAGCAATGCGGTACTGGAGCAGCTTACTGCCAGTTGATGGACTCCATATATGGTGGAGTTCCCATGGGCAAGGTCAAATTCGATTCTAGCCTCAGCGAATACGATTCAAGAGCAAACATGAAGGTCCTTCAGGCCGCCTTTAACAAGCAGCGGATTCTGAAGCAGATCGAGGTGGAACGTCTCATCAAGTGCCGTCTTCAAGACAACCTAGAGCTCCTACAATGGTTCAAAAGGCACTGGATGGAACACAAGGACGTCAACGTGGTTTACGACGCAGCATCCAGAAGAAAACTGGGCGGAGCAAGAACCCCTCTGGGACCCAATTCCCGCAGAAGCACCATGACTTCCAACCCACCTAGTGCTGGATCAAGTTCCAGACCCAGCCGAATCAGTTCAGGTAGCTATAATGGCTCAAGCGATCCTCCCATTTCTGTGCCAAAAAGACGTGTTTCCAGTCAAGGCACCGGCAGAGTTACCGATGACCGTGTTGCTGAGCTCATGGCGCAGTTGGAGCAGGCCAAGGCAGAGGTGAGTGAAAGCAGAACTAACGTCGAGACACTAGAAACAGAGAGGAATTTCTATTTCAACAAGCTACGGGAAATCGAGATCTTGACACAGCACATCGACACCGCTTTTGAGAAGGACGACGCCAGTTCGAAAGAGATCCAGGGCATGCCCATCCAGGAATTGGTGAAGCAGGTGCAAGACATACTATGGCAGAAGGACAACGGGTTCGAGAGCAACGCCGAAGAGATGGACGCGGAGTTTTTCTAGTACCATAGTTGCATTCTACAAGATTTGTCCATCTCTGGAGCCCGAGTACTGAACCTAAGATTCACTATTTTGGAGATATAATGGGGCGACTCAACTGACTACTCAGGCGGGATGGGCGAGCACAGCGGGTTGTGCATAGGCGGTGAGTCTTTTCCTGCCAGTAATGAAAAAACCTCGAGCAGGCGAGACCCTGAGGCGTCAGAAAGGTCCCACTCTGCCAAAAAGCATTATTGGAGAGCACGCAAACCAACAAGAACCCGTTTCGGGAACAAAACTCCACCATTAAGTTTCCCCTTTGACGCTTGCTTTTTTTTTTTGGTCCCGCCCAATTTAACTGTGGCATTGTTCGATCCATCGCAGCTCTTCATAGAGGCATTTTTTTCGAGGATTCAAGACTCTTGAATCCGACAGCACACCAAATCCTACAAAACCGGGCCTTCTTCTTATGTCGAGCTCACATATTCAACACCCGTATGCTCGCCGAAATTCGGCTGCATCGCCTTACTCCATCCCTGCCAACCATAACCAGAGAGCTCATCTCTCGCTGAGCCATGGCCCTGGTGGACACGCCCACGACCACCTTCACAGCCAAATCCACTCTCACTCATACAGCACAAAAAGCCCTAGCAGGCTTCTGCAAAGCGGGCCTTCGCTCTCGAGGGGCTTCGTTGCCAGACGTATCTCCGAAGGAGAATCAGGTCGGATGAAGCTGCAACTCAACTGTGAGGCTTGCGGCAAGGGTTACAAACACGTTTCATCGCTAGCAAAGCACCTCTGGGAACACACGCCGGAGTGGAAGATGACAAAGAAATTCGTCATGTCGAAGCACCAGCAGGTGCAGTTGCTTGAAGCTGCATCGATTTTGGTCGGCATGAACGACCCGGTTCCCGAAGACGAAGTTCTGGAGCCTTCAAGCTTGCGCATGCAGAGAAGATTGTCACAGCGGCCCGAATCGCTTCGCTTCAGTGACTCCTTTGGCACCTCTGGCGGCTTTGAAGTCGAGCAAAACCCTCATGCTGCGCTGGACAGATCTCTTTCCTTTTCTGCCCACCCACCGCTGGCGGTTGAAATCTCAAGGCTTTATCCAGGCCATGTAGGCGGCTACATTGATGTCCCTAGTCGGGAACATATCATCAAGCGGCGTGAAAGCGAGGTGAAGGAGGAGTCGGAGGAAGCTGCCGAGTCCGACGAAGAGATAATCGGCAAGATGGAGTAGAGCCACAGGTAGGCCAGCAGTGCTGGCCATGGATATGTATAGAGAATACCAGTGTCTTGAATTTAGCAGCCGTAGTGGGAGCCCTAACCCGCAAGAAACCCGTGCACCAGAACATCCTAGTAGCGAGAGAAATGCTCAAAGTGAAGAATTTCATTAACCACCAACCGTGTTCCAGTTTCTGGCCCGGCGGCCACCTGCCAAACATCCTCTTTGCGAAGACCCGTTTTGGTGATTCATCTGAGGCAGAAGTGGTAACGTGGTTGGAAGAAGAAAGCGGACAAAAGTCCCCAGTGTATCATAGTACATCCAGTGGCCCCACTAGGGACGCAAACCACGGGTGTCTCCAAGCACACAGACATGCGTAACGTAGCGTAGCATTCCTCTATTTACAAGCTCGATGGAAGGATGGAATTATGTGGTTTTGTCGTGATTTTCATGGATCTGATGCCTTTGGTTCATTTAGTCTCTTTGGGAGCATCGTCTCCTCTGATGATCTCAGCGTTCAACGGCTGGACGCTCTCGTACTGTTGCTTCAAAGCCATCTGCTCCTTGTGCTCCAAATCATTGGCAGTCTGCTTCTTAGACAAGTTCCTTTGCATGAGTCTCTGGGCATCCTTGATGGGGCCCTGTCTCTGGTTGTAACGGTCGACTTCTTGTTCGTAGTTGATGTAGAAGAACGAAGCAGCAGCAAAAACACAGGAAGCGGCGAAGGTCACCTTTGATGCTGTAGACATTATGAAGAAGATGGAGTAGTGGTACGATAAGTGCGAGAGTGTGCAGAACAGGCCCTAGTACCCAGTGATGCTAGGTGAATGCAAGGAAACAAGGGAAAAGTAGATCAAGAAATAACCAAATAGGGAATGTCTTCAATTTTTTGACTTTTGATGGGCTGATCATCTGAGTTGTTGATGTGGTGTGGTACTGGTGCAGTGTCTCACATTAGATTTGCAGCGATGGTCAGGATGCTCCTCTGGGGTAGTAGGACAAATAGAAAAGACCCTGTTTGTTCAGAGTTACGCAAGAGCAATGTTACGAGATTTGTTCAAAAGACTCCACATCCAAAAGGTAAACACAGCTGCTTTCCGAAGCACAAAGTTCATTTAAGCAACAGCGGTAAAACCAAATGCTTGGCTAAGATCAAACTCGCCTAAGCCTACCAGCAACCGATTCTCGCACAACATAGCCGTCTCACATGCTGCCAGCTGGAAAAACTCTAAATTTTAAAAATGTAAATGTACATTGGTCGTCTGAGACAATTTAGTGGGTAATACACCTTGCTGACTGCGAACGGTCCCCCACGTTGAAATCACTCGCCTACAAAGCAATTCAATTCGAAATCAGCAATGTCAAAGGGTCCATGAAATGAATCATCTAAGACATTGGAACCTCGCTGTCCAGCCCGACGGGCCCCTGAAAATTCTAAGCATGCTGCGTCCCAAGCCTTGGCTCTACGGCTGCAAATGACCTCCCCCCACGCAATCCATATATGGCATTCAGGCCGGAGATAATCGAAATGAACCTGAAAAAGAGAATCCCACTAAAAGCATGTAATTCGTAAAATTAACTTACACAGGACTCTGAGCCACCTTTCCAACAATTCCCGATATACAGTGGAGCAACGTTCTCATTGTCTCAACGGCTGCGAAACATTATACACCGACTTGTCCCCAAGCCCTTCTCACGATCTACCAAAAACCGACAAAAAGTAGACGCCTTTTTTGTAGCGAAAAACATCGAAAAACCCAATTTCGATTTCGTCCCATTTATATTCTAATTAATACCAGTCGGAGTCACGTCGCACAAAGCCTACTGCCGTGTCGACAGCACCCGTGCACCTTTAAATGGTGATATCTGCGTCTGTCTGTCCATACAACCATCACTTTCTCTGCTGGCTAAGAGAAGACACCGGCATCAGCGACATTTCCACATTGACGGTGTATTTATATTCGACACACTGCTTGATACAGCTCGCCGGCCTGCCAATTTGTCCATCTTCATTGACTTGAGAACCAGTATGTTCATTCATCCTCCACCTGCTAGTGCAATACTAACTTCAGATACATGAGCCGTTTCAACGACCCCAGCGCCGATTCTGGCCAGAGCGGGGAACAGGGTCTATCGTCGCTGGTTTTCGCCCTGCTGGACTCCCAAATAAGACCCACCCCGGTATCCAATTTAACCAAGAACCTCATGTCCTCGGGGCAGGTGGCTAACCAAAACCAATATGCCCAACCCACGCCGCCTGACTACGCTCTGCTGGTAGCTTCAGAAAGCCGCTCACAGGGGATTCCGTTTGCCAGAGACAATCAGGGCTTCAGCGGCTCTGTCGATAACAAATTCGTCCCGGCTGGTCTGGGACACAATATCGATCCATCACAAGCTCATCCACATTCTGTATCGTCGCTGTTCACGCAGAACCCCCACCTTGGGATTTATAGAAACGGGGGAAAGCCCAACGGCAACGCTAACTATATTCCCTTGGGCCACAATGCCCCGACCATTGTGTCTTCCTCATACACATCCAATTACTCCCACACACCTTCATTCCAGAGTGCTTCAGCTCACTACATGGACAGGAACGACAGCAATGCCACAACAAACTCAGGAGCTGCTCCCGGAATGCAACACATAGCACCTCACGTCCAAACAGGCTTCCTCCCTTCATCATACAACAAAGCGGCCATGGGCCACGGGCTTCCCACCACCAACCTCACAATGAATTCGGTCAATTCAAGTTCCAGCCCCTTCCACCACGGCTCCGACTTCAATAGGGCAAGCTTCTCAGCAACGCCGCAGCTGTACCACTCTCACTTTGAGCCCGGGTCCCATCATCATAGTCAGGTGGCCCAGTCATTGCCCACAGGCGGCTTCACGAACAGGTCACTTCATCCAATTTCCCACAGGCCTTCTCTTGCGAAAGAGTCGCCTGGCCAGATGGGCTTCAACCAACCGCAAAACACTAATCCTCCCAGTTTCAACCAAGGCTTTTTCAGCGAACCGGATCATTATATGACGTACGATGAATATTTGGAAAAGCTCAACAAGCGGGATGCAGAGAATCCCCCCACAGACGAAAATGGTTACGACGAACACCTCAACATTGTGAAATTCCCGGTCAATGACCTTATAACCATGCTCGCGTGTCTCCTAACCAAAATCATAGAAGCTAATGACAAGTTGCACCCTAATCATTTTGACACCACCATTGCCATCAGACAGAAGCTCAAGGAAGAGAAGAAGAGGAAGAGGCAGGAGAAGGAGAAGTCGAGACAGCATTCAATCGATAGCATGACGTATTCTAACGACGGCATAAACACCACAGTGGAACACATTGACGAAGACTATGTCAACTCCTCAGGCGATGAACAGGACGACGAGGACGAGTTGAAGAACAGGTACTTGGCGAACGTGCTTGCATTCCACGGAACAAACATTCCCGGGATCTCGCTCAATGCGTATCTCACAAGAGTGCTCAAGTACTGTCCGGTGACAAATGAGGTGTTTCTCTCGCTCTTGGTGTACTTTGATCGGATTGCCAAGAAAGCCAACAACCTCAAGAAGTCCCATGACGTCGACGGAGAGGGGGAGGGGCAAGCCGATGGCGAGCAACTCTTCGTGATGGACTCGTATAACATCCACCGGCTCATAATTCTGGGCATCACTGTGAGTTCGAAATTCTTCAGTGACATTTTTTACAAGAACCTTCGGTATGCCAAGGTTGGCGGGCTTCCGTTGGAAGAGCTCAACTATTTGGAATTGCAGTTTCTTCTTTTGCTTGATTTCAAGCTCATGATATCTGTGGAAGACCTCCAAAATTACGGCGACCTTTTGCTCAAGTTCTGGAAACGGGAGCAATTGGCGTCCGACCTTGTAAACACTGCTAACCAGGCGGAACCAGGCTCCTCCGCGGCGGCTAATAGTTAGAAGTGCGCAGAAGCGTTTCTATGCGCCGCGTGGGGAAAAACATATTTGATTGCCGAGCATCTCCAGCACACAGCATCTGGGGGAGGTTGCGGCAAAAAGTGCTAATAGAGACAAAATAACGATGTACGTTTTAATAATTTTTTTCATTTCAGCCTTTGTGACAGGTAGGCTTTGTAGGGCCACGAGTGGCGTGGGCCGTTAGACATGGAACGTACAATAGTACTAGTGCATGCGAGCGCAAATACCTTGGCCTATATACAGGAAACTTGTTTGTGAGCCGTGATGAGAACAAGGAGGGGTGCCATGTGTCAAGCGAAAAACGCATTTTAAAGAGAGGGGCGAGAGGGAATTAAAAAAAAAAAAAAGCGTTGCTTCACGGCATCAATAGACCCGGATGAATCCGGGATTGTGGAAGCCCTGGCCTATGAAGGCTGAGTCAAACTCACATGTAAGAGGCTATTGCCGTGCCCAGCGTGCATTAAGTCCACCGGACTTAAGCAGACACACGAGTTAGTTCACTGCGAGTCAGTGGTCCTAACGATCTTGCTGACAAAAAAAAACATAAAAAAACTGGAAACCAGGAGGGTCGCAGTGCACACGGACGCGCAGACTGCACACAGACGGAATTTCTGCGTTTTTCGAGGTAGTTCACAGAGAAGCTAGCTCGGTGCATGTCAGGGTCCACGAGTGAAATAATACCACGGTGGATTCTGGCAAAACAAAAAATTACATTCCGATAATAAGATAATCTGAATAGTAGACATGCGTTTTTATGGCCTCGCTTAGGATGCCTCGCGCGGCTGATTGACGTGCCAATGCTGCGAGGGCAACTGTGGATTACGAAATATCGCACGGAGGCGGTTGTGCCGACCACCGCACGGATAATGCGGAACCGAAACAACCGCCAGGCCGCCAAGTCACTCAGCCAAGAAGATGTGTGGCATTGCCTCAGAATCACTCAAGATGGCAAGTTCATGGAAGCATTGGCAAGGGAACTAACCATTTCTTGAGTAAAATATGACATGCTAAGACCCGGATTTACTGCAACACAGCCGAATGCATGGTTTGCGCATCTCGGCAAGAAAAAAAGAGGCCCGGCTGCAATGGCAAGTAGGTTAATTTCGTGCTTTCTTTCTTTCTTTTTTTTTTTTTTTTTTTTTGTGTGTGTCTGTGTATTGACATTCGACTATATCAGGGTTAAGCCCCCCGGACATCAAAGAGTTCCGTGCTTTCTTTTCCTAATCACTCCACATCCTTTTGTCCCCATTATCCAACGGCCCTAGCCTCCCCTCCCCTTCCCATCTTTTGCAACCACTAGAGCATGGCGACCACAATCCCCACTATCACGTCGCTCACGACGGTTGATCCGAGTTATGTTCCGCTGCTTACCTCAGCCTTAGCAAGTGCCACACATGCCCTTGGTACGGCTACCGCTGATGGTGATCTTTACCAATACAGCAAATCGGTCGCTGCTGCCTCCAACTCCCTTGCTATCGTCAGTGCCCAGTCTGTCTTGTCCACCGCCACAGGCCTGGACTACCTGCTGGCATCTGAGGTGATCATGTCGGCCGCCACAGAAATCGCCAAGATCGAGTACTTGGATAACATGTACCGTGCCGACTTGAACATGGGTGCCAATGTGTTTTTCTGTGTGATTTTTGGTGTCGTCACCATCTGGCATTTCGTGGTGGGCGCTCTTTACCGCTACTGGTACTTTTTCTTTGTTCTCGGCATCGGCTCCGGTCTCGACTTTGGTGGTTACCTTGCCAGATCCGTCAGTGCCACCGATGAGACTCTTGTTGACCCCTTCTTGGTCCAGATTATCGTGCTTACCATTGCCCCTGCGTTCATCATGGCAGGTGTCTATTATATGCTTGGCAGACAGTTGGTGTACATTGGCGAGGGCTACTCTTGGCTTAAACCCCGGTGGTTCTCGTACATCTATGTCACCTGCGACGTCATTTCTCTTGTCATTCAGGCCATCGGTGGTGGTATGGCTGCCACTGCCTTGTCTGCTAATAAGGATACCGATGATGGTACCCATGTGATGGTGGCCGGTATTGCTTTCCAGGTGGCCACAATGTCGTCTTTCTTCATTGTTGGCGGTAACTTTGTCGCCCGTGTGTGGTTCAGAGCTTCGCCTGACGTGAGGTTCTCATGGTCTAATTTCTTTTCTTTGCTTTTCAATGTTGGCAAGGCTAACGAGTTGCACCAGAAGTTGGAACCAAATTACGACCCCAAGTACGCCCACGTGAGAGGCAGAAAGTTGTTCCCTTATGTCTTCACCTCCATTTTCGCCGCCACCGTCCTCATTTACATCCGTTGTATTTATAGATTGGTTGAGCTTTCCGAAGGTTGGACCGGTTACACCATTCGTCACGAGGCCTTCTTGTTTGGTCTCGATGCCGCCATGGTCTTCTTGACCGTTCTGCTCTTTGTTCCTTTCCATCCTGGTTTCATCTGGGGCAAGTACCACCCTACGCTTTCTTTCAAGAAGAAGAGCGAGCCTCAGCCAGAGGAGGAGTACGACCAGGAAAAGCTCTACGGTGACTCCCAGAACCCATCGGAAGGTCCTTCCCAGGAGGCTGAGAAGCCCAGAAACGAGGAGTCCTTCAATAGCGGAGAAGCCACTCCTTATCAAAATCGGGACATTTACAAGAGCGACGAGGAACGAGGAGCCTTTGGTAACGAGTACCAGATTGATGAAACCGATGACCACTTTGCTAGCGCAGAGAATGTGCAGCAGCAGGAGCAAAGAAACCCATATGGCCTCCCTAATGATAGCCCCGAGAAATTGGCACAGCCACGGGATTTCACTACCAGGCAAGGCGCCGATGCCCTCTAAGCCTTGGGCCCCTGGCCCACGGGCTAACCTCCAGGGAGGTAAGTACGGGCTTCCCCCAAGGCTTTTTTTCTCAATGTTCGTCTGAGACATGGCCATTGTTGAAATCGCTATTGTATTTTACCATGCGGGCTGAAATAGCCTCTCCGCCGTGAAAACGGCTTTTTATCATACAACTTCATAGAACAAGAACGGATCCTACTCGTAAAAAGCCTTGTCGTAGTTTATAGACTTTTTCCCCGTTGAGGTGTCAAATGTGGGGCTGTGCTCCGGAGTCCTAGTTTGCTCCAAGTCACTATACCCTGCCCGATTTAGCTGAACAGCCCCTAGGCTTGGGCTGAACCCCACTTTTGCCAAAAAAAAAAAATCTAACCTTATCGTAAACTGGCAACTTTAACGCACTTGGCAGCACAGGGCAAATGTTTTTGTGCTCCGAAATACAGGGTTCTTCGGATCACTCAGATAGCTTATTCGCTACCAGGCCAGAGCGTCGTAAAAATACCTCTACCTGCAGTACATAGAATACTTCTTACCAGATTAGGCTAAAGATTCACATCGCACCTTCCCATATAGGCAGGTACGGGGAAGCCTTGCGTCGCATAGCTCTATTTGCAATGGGCAGTTCGCCAGATTTTCTTTATATAAAATACCATTCAATCCTGTTGTTTGCTCACCAGTTTTCTTCGCCCCGACCTTCGTTTTCTTTGTCGTTACAACGTTGCCATGTCTGAGTGGCTTTCAAAATTCACCCAGCCTTGGTCCACCACCGAGCTTCCCACCCACACAACATTGACCCATGTGGCTCCCCAAAAGTTCGAGGGCTTGGTCTCGACCTTAATGCTGATTTCTGAGGCATGGCCCACCGAGACAAACAGAATGAGTTTGTACGAGATGGCCAGAGACGGTAAAGGAGCCCAGGCTTCTATCTCTGTGCTTTCTGCTCAAAGATTCATGGCTACTGCCACTGATAACCAGAGACTTCCCGAGATGACTTCCGTGATTTGGAATGCCACTATGGAACTTCAGGAGTTGGAAAAAGGTATCAACTTTTACCAGATGGAGTTGAGCCCTATTGCCAACGGCCTCTTTGCCGGCTTCTTTGCCCTTTTGCTTATTCTTCACATTGTGCTTTGCATTTGGAAAAGACACCCTTACTTTGGCATCTGTCTCACCATGGGAACTGCTTGCGAGTTTACTGGCTACATTGGTAGACTTTTTTCCATTGGTGACTATGACAATAAGGATGCATACCTTTGCCAGATTATTTGTTTGACCCTTGCCCCTGCACTTCTTATGGCGGGTGTTTACTTTGTTTTGGCGCAATTGACGGTGATACATGGACGAAAATATTCGGTGCTAAAACCGCTATGGTTTTCGTATATTTTCGTATTTTGTGATGCAGTGAGTTTGGTTGTCCAGGCAGCTGGTGGTGCCAGTGCTGCTATTCAATTGCAGCAGTTTGGTGATACAGTTCCTGGCACCAATACCATGGTTGCAGGTATTGCCTTCCAAGTGGCGTCAATGACGCTTTTCTTGTACTTCCTTTTCGACTTCATGAAGAGAATCTGGTTCCGTGCCAGTCCAGAAGTCAAGTTCTCCTTCCACAACCTCCTCAGTTTTCTTTTTGCAACTGGAAGAGGCAAGAAGCTTCGGGAATTGTACTTGAACCAGCACTACAATCAGAACTACGCTCACATATGGTCGAGGAGATCATTCGCTTTCTTCCCCTTGGTTTTGCTCTTGTCTGTCATTTTCATCTATATCAGATGCATTTACAGACTTGTGGAATTAACCGAAGGCTGGAGTGGTTACCTCATTACCCACGAGGAGTTTGTCATGACTCTCGACGGTCTTATGGTGTTACTTATGGTGATCTTGCTCGTACCTTTCCACCCAGGTGTTCTTATGGGTAAGGGCCTGAACATCTCCATGAAGACCATCAGAAATCTGGCCGACGAAAAGTCAGATGAAGCCAATGACGGAAAACTGTTGGGAGACTCCAGCTGGTCTGACGACTCCACCACCAAAATGTCCAGCAACGAGAAATGTCACTCCAGAGACTTGTCTGTGCTGAGTCAGGAGTCCAATCCTTTCGAGCCAGAGAGTAAACGCAGTTTCATGCCATTGCTTAAAAAGAACGTGGCTAGAGAGGATTTTGCAGCCGTTCCATACTCGCAAACCACTCAAGCCGAATCCGTGAGTCCATCGCTCGAACAGCACACAAACAAGAAGAACAACCTACGAAAGTCACAGCTTAAGCAGCACAGCCGTCATGTCAATCCGTATGAATCACCACAGGTACTCAATTATGTCCAGAACCTGGGCCCATACACAGAAGAGCCAAGGGAATACAGACCACAGACACAAACCTATGGATACCAATACCACAACGACTATGACGACGGCAGCAATCACTACGACGACGTCCATTACGACTACGATGATGTTCAGTCTCAGCTGACTCAATTGACTAACGACGAGGAGCACTTTACCTTTACATGAGATTCAGATACCCAGCATATATTTCATACCAATTAAAAGAAGGAGAACAACGGAGTTCTCATGACGAATAAATAAGTTGTAAGATTATTTTGGACCCCGAGGAATCCACCGTGGAGCGCTCTTCACACAGTAGGCATCTGCACATCCACAGCTTTTAGTCTTGCCCGGATCCGTTTGGGAGTCCTGTACTATCAAGCAAGGATGGTAGTTTGGAACCAGGGGCGTTTCAGCAACTGTCCTTTTGGGAATGTAAGTGTGTTTTAGGCTATCAGCCAAACGAGTGGAGTCCATGGAGAAGAATGCAGTTTAGGCTTTGCAAGGCTATCTTGCTTGCTTTATAGTCTTCGGGAAGATGTTCCCGTCTTTCGCAGCCACACTGATAAGGGCATGAGTCAGGCAGCTGTACAGATAACATTATGCATGGAGCCAGACGCAAGGAATAAACAATGTGCCACGAGCGGCACGAAGAAGGCAGTGCTAGGGTGAAGGTTATTTTATTTTGAAGGCTGTTTTGTTGATCAGTTTCTTTGTTCATAAATGGCACTTGCGGTCAACTTCGGGTTGTCGGGGCTTAAAGTAATCCACACTAAGTGAAATTCCGAAGAAATGATTGAATTAAATTTCTTGGACACTACGTCTTCATCCAGCATTTCATGTGGATCGGAGATGAGCTCCTGGTGGTGATCCGGATAAGACAGGTGCGGATCCGGATAGGGCAGTGGGTGCCATTTGAGGAAGCACATGTAGAGCAGTTGTAGGGAACTTTCCCCGGCTTAGAAAGATTATTTGAGACTGGGTGATCAATATAGAAATGGAGATTTTGGCTCTAACAGCAGGTACAATCTGTTCACAAATCATGGATTTCATGGGTTGTTGATTTGGTCTTTCTCACCTTATTAAGGTACAAATCTTGCACCTCATAAAGTGCTGAGATCTAATTAAGATTTGTAAGTATTGCAGCCAGCACCATGTATAATCTTATGGAGTTGAAGAAAATCACATTCTATGCAACAAATTGTTCACAAGATTAAGTCTGGCCAATTTGACCCTTTCGCTTATTGGAAACATCCACCATGATTCTATCACAAGAACACATTGAGTCTACAGTTAATGTAACCCTTCATTTCAAGCCACCAAGATATCATATTGAGGCAAGCGATAACACAAACGGTATGTTGTATCAACCAGCGAACCCAACGATCACACTCCTAACTCACATCCACCTTTTGAACAATCCTCTCACGTTGATTCATCCAATACTATAACTACACTAGAGCTTTCGCTCTCTACACGGCCCACAATTAGACCTCAAAAATTCGGTTATCTGTTGTATTAAGTACAGACTGACCATGACACGAGCTAAATTACATCAACATGAAGAGGGGGACTAAGGCGACTTGCTTATTTCTTAGAAGCCTTCTCCTTCTCCTGCTGATCCTTCAACACTCTCTTGACGATCTTCTGCTCCTCGATCAAGAAAGCTCTGACGATTCTCTCCTTGACACAGTTGGCACATCTGGAACCACCGTAGGCTCTCTGGACGGTCTTCTTGGTCTTAGAGATCTGAGAGTACTCTCTTGGTCTCAAGGTGGCGATACCCTGCAAAGCGATACCACAGTCACCACACTTAGGGGTAGTGGCCTGCTTCTTCAAGTGCTGGGCAACCAACTTACCACCTGGGGTCTTGACGACCTTAATCTTGTTAGACTTGGTGTTGTCTGTATGTTAGTAATAGTCGGGAAGCTACGGTCGAACGTCCTTGGATATGGTTTATGGAAATGGATTGATTCTTGTGAATAGTTTTCGTTGATTTTGCACGGTGGACATTTCATCTTGGATTCTTCAAAGGTTGGATATCATATGGAAAATTTAACGTCTGGATCTTCGACATGGGACTTGTTGTTCGACACTTTGTAGCGGAATTAATTCAATAGTTCGTTTGAACATACATGGAGTCTTTCTTCTGTAGGTAACACGCTGAGCCATCTTTGTTTCGTTGGATTAACTGAATTCCCAAAATGTGAGTATTAAGAGATGAAGAAGAAATTTTCGGCTACTCGCTGCGGGCGTGTGCAGGCCCCCCAGTCACTTGAAGGTGCGGTTATTTTAGTGGGTTTTTCGCGGTTCTAAGTGTGATGTCATGTGACGCACTACGATTATAGGGCTATAGCCCTAGACAACGGTACTAAGCTGCTAGACTTGTTCATGACTTTAGCTTACTAAGGTGGAGTTACAAGGCAGACGAGAGGATAAGCAGCTTCAGTTATATCAGATTGCAGTTCAACCAGGAAGATACAAATCCCAATATGGTGGTGCTAATAGGTCGGTGAATATGAGAGGAGAGTATGATGGCTGCAAAATCTAGGGCACTTTATTGCATCCGTTGAGGTAAACTTAGTGAGATACCTTTTGCAACAAAAAACATAGCCAAGCTTTCAGGCATCCCACGAGCAAGCTTCTCTAGACTTACCTTCAATTATCTCTTGAATTCTTGAATTCCGATTTCATCAAGATAAGACTTTTGACCTCAACAATCTCCCCACATGGATATCTCAACTACTCAGTACAGTACACTGTCTTACCTAGCGGCTGCCCTACTCATTTCAGAACTGCAAGTACTCTGCTATCGTTATACTACTTACAACTTGTTCTCGTCCTTCTCGACGGCAACGACTTCCATCTCCAAGTCAACGCCCAATGGCAATTCTCTGACAGCGATACAGGATCTAGCTGGCTTGAAGTCGCTGAAGTACTTACCGTAGACACCGTTGAATTCGGCGAATTGAGTCTTCATGTCAGTCAAGAAGATGGTGGCCTTCACAATGTGCTTCAAGGAGGAGTTGGAAGCATCCAAAATGTTACTGACATTCTGAATCACCTGCTCAGCCTGCTCAGCAATGGTGGGGTTAGCAGACAATGGCTTGTTGTCTGGGGTGTAAGGAATCTGACCGGAAACGTAGACAAAACCTATCGTTAGTTGTGTACTTTCAAAATTGTGTGAGTTTTACATACCATTGACCTTGACAGCCTGGGAATAGGAGGCAGCTGGTGGTGGGGCGGTAGCGGTCTTAACCTGGGGTATTAGTACGATGCTAATTGATATGATTGATCTAGTGAGAGGTCAACAATTCGAACATACTGGGGTGATAAGGCTTCTCTGATTCATTCTAAATGTGTTTTGGATGGCACGGAAGGAACTAGCAAACATTATATTCGGCGTTTCTCTCCACGGAAATGGTGACTCCACAAGGTGTGTGGGTCCTGGGGTACGGACCTTTTCCGTCAGAGTCGACCAGGAAGTCCAGCTCCGCACCTTGCGGGAGTCACACCACTGACTCTGTCGAATTTTGCAACCATTCTTACTTCTTCTTTCCCTTTTTCTTCTTCTTAGTCTTCTTCTTTTTAGTGGACTCGTCATTTTCTTTTTCCTGGTGAGCGGCTTGCATCTCTTGAAGCTCCTCGATACTGGAACCGACACCCATGAGTTTCACTTCGAAGTCGCCATGGCCGAGCGTGAAGGGCTCACCATCACCTCGTATGAGCCTCTCATCTTTAGCTTGAGCACAAATTTCTGCTAGGCTCATATGGTGACAGATGACATTGTAATTTTTCATGAATAAGCGGAAATCGTTAGCTGCATCCTCGACGTTTTCAAGGTAATCCTCCTTAGTATAGTTCGGACCTTTTTTGCCCCTATTATGGATCCTCCTAAGAGCACTAGAGACTCTTTTAACAAGCTGGGCAATCAATGCACTGGATGAGTTGGACCTGTAATCTAAAACGCTAACATCTTCCAAGGCTAGACCATTCAAATCCTCCAAAACTTCTTCCACGGAACCAGCATCTTTGTATATGAGTTTGTTCCACAATTGCTTCTCTTTTTGGTTCTTTCCAAATCCGCTTTTAAACTCGAAGAAGAGCTCTCTAGCTTCAGGAACGTCACCAACGAAGGGCATTAGAAGGAACTCAATTTCCTCTTTGTAGTTGTCAATGTACAGAGCGGTCTTCGATGTAGAGATAACGCCGTTCTCGACCAACCTCCGAATCATAAACGAAGCCAAGGATATAAGGGATTTTGCTCGCAGATGTGAGATCTTGTCGAAATAGATAATCCACAAAAGAAGATTGCTGAAGCATTCGTGAAGAAGCATCAGCCTTTCGATGACAGAGAGCTCAAGATGTCCCTTCCTGGAAAACTCGATCTCTCGCTTTGTTCCCTCATTAGAGCCTCTCATTCCGATAGCCAACTCATATATGTAATTGAGTAATGCAGGCGAGTAGTTCACCAAATGTGTGATGAACCAAATGAATGTCCTCCTGAAGCCGCCACACATGAGAATTTCATCAATGATGCTGGTGGCAATAGCTGGGTTGGATATGAGAATGTATTCGAATCGAGTCACCTCCTTGTTGTAAGCCTCAACATGATTTGGAGGCGTTGGGAGATTCGAAGTATTCTCAGGAGGTGAGACAAGGTATTCGTAGATATCACCAGGAGCGACTATTGCATCAGGATTCTTCTCTGCTTCATCTTTAATGCACTTTGCTAGAATATCGACAATTCTTTGACCAAGTAGTCGGTTCTTGGCTTCGGGATTATTGCCATCCTTCACAGTCATCACGTAATCGATGTATTTTTCAAACTCCTTCATATCTGTCAAGGGCGTGAATTGCAGAGAGACTTTCAGGAATCTTTCGGAGAACTCAGTATTTTGTCCTCGAGGGCAGTCGTTCCAGTCGACTCCCTCTTCATCAACGCCGACGCCAGCAGGATCGGAGCGTAAAGCCATACGGACCTCTTTCTTCAGGTCGTCGTTTGTGTCCTCTTCTTCCACCGCCTCTTCATCCTCCTCCTCTGAGTCAGCATATCCAAAGAACACATATTTGATGTCCTCATCAAGGTAGTCCTCGTACATAAGCATGTTGTCGAAATTTCGAGCATAATCCGTATTGTCGGTATACCGCAGACGTTTATAAAGATAGTTCGAAGCTTGTTCTTCATTATCCATAATCGCATTGAGGAAGTCATCAAGTCTGGTTCTTGTTTCATGCATGTCGAATCGTAGGATCAATTGGACGAAAATGAATGCACCATAATTACCGTTGAGTGCGCCACCAGACGCTCTCTTTCTTGTCAAGGGGTCATAAAAATCGAGTAGTGGCTGTTGACAGACATCATACTCGTGAGCCTTTCTGTCTTCAATGACACTTTGGTCGTAGAGCTTTCCAGGCGTGGTTTGATTTAGTACATATGCCAAAACAGACCGAACAGCACTAGACCCAAGGAGTGCACGCTTTACATGCTCCGGGGTATCGAAATACTCGTCACTGTTCAGGTATGCGTATTGCTCGAGGTCATGATCGAGCTCGAATGCTAATTTGATAATGCCAGTGTGTGATCTCCAAAGCCGGATGAAATAGTCCGTATATGGATTCAATGCAGGGTTATATGGGCTCCCATCCTCGGGGAGAAATAGTTTGTAGATTGCCATAACAAGGACACATGCCATGTAGTAGCTTAGCTTGGCCTCATAGTCATTAAGCTGGTAGAAGTCGGGAAGCCAAAATGGATCTCTTAGCTCCCAATATAGCAGATCTTTGAGCAATGCTTCAATTCTAATGGGATCGTCACAGCGTAACGTCTTGTTGATGGCGTCCAAAATCGTCAAGTAATTGGTCGATAGCTGAAATCGTAGAGACTGGATGCATGGACGCTCGTCTTGATCTAGGTTTTCGGCATTGTACTCGAGAAGTTGTTGATATGTTAACGCTATAGCGGCATCTGCCAAGCAAGAAACACTCAATGGAACCGTGTCATTGTCTTCAGGCTGAGTATATGGATCGCAGAGACCAGCGACTGTGTCGAAGATGGAATCTATAAGGCTGTCTTCGTCGTCTAGCATAATCGCCTGTTGAAGGACATCATGATCTAGGAAAAAATCACGTTGATCATCCTTTTGCGGTGGGATGTCGAACTCCATGGCCTGTTGCAGGTCCGAGTCCTCTGTGTCTGACATTCCACGCCTGATGAGTAGTTGTACTTGAATGGTCTTGAAAAACGAATCCGCGCATACATACCAGGGTCCATTCAGCAGTGGTTGCAAATCATGCAAAAACAAGACATGCCGGAATTAGTATGATCATTTTCTTTTTATGGCTGGACTCTCACAAAATTTTTTGCATCGAAACTTTATTTTCTATTTCCAAGTTCGTCGGAGTCGGAGATTGCGACCTTGCACTCCGAGGTCTTAGTAGAGTGAGATTCGATATTCCACTTCTGCGTTGAACATTTTGACTGCTTCACCAATTTACAATTCCGAACTGATGGGTTGATAGAGAAGCCGTCAACTTTGCACAACAGTGATTTCATATGAACTTTTGCGTTGACCATCAAAAGTTCGATAGTCGAGATCAATTGACGGCACTGGTACTCAACTTCTTGTGGAGCCAATAATCTTTTCTTCGATGGTTCAACGATTTTATCTTCACTAGAACAGGAATACAATTATAAAGCTTACGCCTAGCTTGATTTTTTGTTGCAAGCCAATGAATCAAACTGAATCAAGCACAAATCTGGCTGGAATTATACTCTCCAGCTCCAGCCAGATTTTGCCTTCGTTTTCTTCGAATATGGTCATTAGGTAGAAGTCATTCCAATATTTGTGAATCCTCCTTTTTGATCATGTGTCAGCTTTGTAATTCCACCTAACTCTTCAATACTCGTATTTCGCAGCCATCTGCTATGGATGCACAGTTCCCAAAAATGAGAAGTACCACAATAAATCAATTGCTTTATACTTTCTAAAAAGAAGAAATTGCTTGCATTTGAAACTTTTAAAAATCCTTCATCACTTTCAACTAGCTTCAAATACCTTATGAAATTTGCCGACAACTCGGCCATACCTCAGATGAAATCATATGCTCCAAGAGTTGGTGCAACATGAAGCTACGAATTTCCTCAATTAACAATTTAATATCACTAAATGCTTTCGAACTGAATTGCAATTTCCATTTTCGAAATTGCCCGGCTTGTATTTTCTTCGTGGGCAGCCTCTGACAGGAATTGTTCCTGACCGGCATATAAGTTCCTCTGGTGCGTTGGCCATAGGTGACATTTTTTGGAAACACCTTTCAGCAACTCATAGTTAGAAACGTTCCGCTAACGCTGTGGATAATTAAATCTCAATCACATAAGAGGAACACGCTTTGTCATTGAAACTGCCTATAAAACCAAAGGCTGTTTCGTTTTACTGATCAGCGTTTCAACATGAGAATCAAGGACATAACACGTACCTCCACCTTTGTTTGGAGTTCAGACGTGATCCCATTGCTAGCAACAGGCTCTGTTGCTGGCGCTGTGGACCTCAACTTTTCCGCGTCCCTGACCCTTGAGATCTTTGATGTTTTTGACAAAGGTTATGACCCCATTTTCAGTGCTACTTTAGAGAACAAGTTCCACGCATTGGCATGGCTGAAGCCCTTCGGAAACTACTCAAGAGGCTTGTTGGCTGGTGCTTTTGAAACCGGCGTCGTAGAATTCTGGGATGCCGAGAAACTCATCAGAACACAGTCGTTGGAGGCTTCATCGGTCCACAAATCATCAAAACATTCCGGCGCGGTCAAGTGCTTATCGTTCAACCCCCACCAGAACCATTTACTTGTGTCTGGAGGACAGAGGGGAGAGATCTTAATCTGGGATGCAAGCACGTTTTCCGAGCCATATGCCCCCGGTAGAGCCATGGTGCCAATGGATGAAATCACGTCTGTGGCGTGGAACAACTCTGTCAGCCATATTTTGGCTTCGACATCCAACGGCGGCTACACCAGCATCTGGGACTTAAAGGCGAAGAGGGAAGTTTTACACTTGCAATACAACGGCGCTCTTGGTAAGGCTGACTTCTCGCAGGTTGCCTGGCACCCCACGCAGTCTACGAAGTTGATCACTGCTAGTCAGAGTGATTCGTGCCCAAACATAATGACTTGGGATTTAAGGAATGCCAGTGAACCCGAGGTTATTCTCCAAGGTCATGAGAAGGGTGTCTTGTCGTTGGACTGGTGTAAAAAGGACGCTGGCCTTTTGCTTTCTTCCGGCAAGGACAATTCCACCAAATTGTGGAATCCTTTGACCGGTGAGAAATTAGGCGACTACCCTACTGCCGCCAACTGGACCTTCTTGGTGAGCTTCGCTCCAAGCGCGCCAGACGTGATCGCATCCGCTTCATTTGATGGCAAGATTGTTGTCCAGACTTTGCAGGACACCTCTCCACCAATTTCACAGCAAGTCAAGGCTACTGACGAGAATGAATTCTGGTCCAACATTTCTACAACGGACCATCAGCAACCGCTGTTCGAATTGAAGCAGGCTCCACAGTGGCTTAAGAGACCATGCTCAGCATCATTTGGTTTCGGGTCGAAATTTGTGACAGTCAAAACTGTTGATGGCAAGTCTGTGATCAACATCAGCAAGACCACCGCTGGAAAGGAACTTGTTGCTGATAAGCTTACTGAGGCCCTTAAGAATGGGGACTTCTCTGAACTTATCTCCGAGAAGCTACAAAACAATCCTACGGACATTTCCGACTGGAAGATATTGGATGCTTTGTCGAAGCATGGAAAGGAGCATTTCCTAAAGGATATCGTCGATGGCTCTACCGAAGAAAGCGACGAGAAGCAACCGGCTCAAGAATTGTCAGGTAGAATTGACAATCTGAATGGTGACGACTTTTTCAGCAACTTATCCAACGATGCTGCTCAGGGTTTCAACTCATCATCTAACGAGGGTTTTGCTCCTAGTGGTCCTTTCAAAATCTTGGATGGTTCCCATAATGAAAAAGATGCTCGTTTGACTAAGCTTATCTTGAGCAACAAAATTGGCAAAGCTGTGGATCAATGTTTGAGTCAAGGAAGATTGTTAGAAGCCTTGGTTTTGTCTCTAGACCAAGATGATACCGTGAAAGATAAGGTCAAAGCTCAGTATTTCAAAGAAACCAATTCTGATGTGTTATCTCGCTTGATCTTTTCTGCATCATCCAAAAGTGTGGTCGATCTTGTTGCGAATGCCGACATCAGCAACTGGAAGGAAATTGCTTCAAGTATTTTCGCATACTGTACTGACAAAACTGAATTCAACTCAAAGATCGTGGAATTGGGTGACCGCATTCTTGAATCCCGCCAGTCAGCTGCTGATCGCGAGAACGCATTAGAATGTTATTTGGCAGGTGAGGCATTGGACAAGGTTTCTGCCCTTTGGTTGCAAGAGATTCCACTGGAATCCAACAATGGAACTATCGCTGAGGATGGCGAGACTCCATTGGATGCAAAGTTCAAGTCATTGAGCGGATTTGTTGAAAAACTTTCGGCATACAGATCCCTTTCGAACATCACCAGTACTCTTTCTGGTCCAGCAATTGAGCCAACTTGCAACGCTGTCTTTGAATTCTCAACAATGGCTGCAAACAGTGGTAATTTTGAGTTGGCGAGGGAATTTTTGTCCATCCTTCCCGAGAACTACGATGGGTTGAAGGCTGAGCAGGAGCGTATCAACAAGGCTACCGCTCAACCAGTTCAGCGTGTTGAGCAAGGCCGCAGGAGATATACCCAACAAGGCGCTGCCAATGGTAGGTTCAGTGGAACCTCTCCAGCGAAGCCTGGTTTCAATCCTTTGGCCAACAATGCTGCTCCACCATACGGTGGAGGTGCTGCTTTCGGGCGCCCCCCACCTGCTGCTGGAATGAACAATGCCTATCCTGGTGTTCCTCAACCTACCGCACCATCGGCAGCTCCAGCCGCTCGTGCAGCTGCCAACCCTTACGGTAGACCAGCTCCAGCACAAACTGCTCCGGCACCAGTGGCAGTCGCCCCACCTGCAAGCTCATATGCTCCAACATCATCAAGAGTTGCTTCTGGTGTCGTTCCTCCACCTGCAGCTGCCAATATTGGCAATGTGTCTGGTCCTACGGGCGCCAGATACACGCCTCTTCAGCCTGCTACATCCGTCGTGAGCCCTCCTGCCCCACCGCAGCCAACCAACAACGTCAAGCAGGAAACTGATGGATGGAATGACTTGCCTGACACTTTCAAAGCGCAAAAGTCTGCCAGGCGTGCAACTCCTGCAGCTGTCTTGTCTCCCAAGGTACCTACACCCCAGGTTGCAACTGCTCCATTGGCACCACCAACTAGGAAGGGTGCTGCACCAATGATGCCGCCACCACCAAGAGCTGCTTCAAGACAAGCTTCGCATTCTGGTGCTTCCAGTCCTAGAATCAATGCTGCTTCTCGTCAGGCTTCGGTCAGTAACAAGTACGCTCCTCCTCCATCCTCCATCCAAATCCCTCAACAAAACGGATTGTCAACACCTGGAAGTAAGGTTGCTACTCCGCTGGCTCCACCCAAGAATCCTTATGCTCCAAGTCAAAGTGCCAACCCTGCTCCAACCAAGAGCTCATTTGTTCCTCCACCTGCAAACAACTTTGCACCCACCTCAGTGAATCAATTCCCTCAGGCAGCTGCTCCACTGCAGCCACCAAACCCATATGGACCACCACCTACGGCTGCCGCTGCACCCCCAAGCAATCCATATGCTCCTCCACAGCAATCGTCGCAGCCTCCATCCAATCCCTATGCCCCATCAACCGGTGCTAGAGGTCCAAGAGGTCAGTACTCTACTCCTGCGTCAGCGAGAGCCAGCAGAAAACCATCAATTGGAAACATTGCACCTCCTCCACCCAGGGCTCAGGCTAACCTTGGATCGCCTCATTTAGGGCCACCACCAACAGGACCACCTCCTAGAAAGGTCTCCACCCAGCCTCAGCCTAGTGTCGGGGCTCCACCAGCTGCAGCTCCACAGGGTCCTCCAGTCACCCAGGTACCTCCTCCTAATGCTGTTTCACAACCACCACCATCATCGGTGCAACATGGACCACCCGTTTCTCAAGGACCACCACGCAGTGCTGCTGGACCACCACCTCAAAGGAAGACTTCTGCTTTGCAGCCACCTCCACAAACACAGGCTCCACCTCCACAGGCACAGGCTCCACCTCCACAGGCACAGGCTCCACCTCCACAGGCACAGGCACCTCCACAGGCACCTCCACAGGCACCTCCACAAGCCTCCGCTCCGCCAACTGCAGCACCTGCTCAGAATGGCACAACAGCCTCGCCCTCGAAGGAAGTTGACGCTATCATCACCACCTTCACGAAGTATAAGGATCACATCAAGCCTGCGGCTCCTGCGAAGTATGAGAAGCACGTTATTGATATGGAGAAGAGATTAAACATTTTGTTTGATCACTTGAAAAAGGGAGACTTGGTTTCTCCAGATGCAGTTGGAAAGTTGAATTCGATCGCATCTGCATTGGAGAGCAAGCAATGGGGCAATGCATCAAACATTAACACCGATATTCTGGCTAAACACCCTAATGAAATTGGTACTTGGCATGTCGGTGTGAAGCGTTTGATTACCATGGCAGAGGCTTTCGATGCCTAAGCTGCCAGTTTCTGAACTTAGATGTTACATGCTATAACATGATTGTATTTATAAAATATAAAATAGGCATAACTTATTCAAAACTCAAAAGAAGTTGAGTTCGAAAATTTTAGCACCTTTTTGTGAGTTCGTATCGTCGTCAGAAGTTTTATCATGAACACCTTCGAATTCGAGCAAAGCAAATCTGGTTTTTATGGGTGCATCAAGTGTCAAATCCGTGGTATTGTGCCGCGAGGGTAAGACGATCAACGCTTCCTCCTTAGGCCTAAATGGCTCATTAACTTCAACTGATGTGGATGCGACTGTTGCAAAAATATTCTGCTGTTTGTAAAGCTTTCCAGTCGGATTGTTGAATTTGTATTTCTCCGGCAAATCAGTGTTGAAATCGACATGGCTCAAAAAGTCAATCGAATCAAGCAAATCACGATGATCGGAGCTCAAATCCTGAGCTGCGGCAGAGAGAGAGACCAGACGTGGAGGCTTGTCGCCCCAGTTGATTGAACAGTTTTGCAATTCAACTACCTCACGGAAGTCAATCAAAATTTTGCTTTTCTCCGGGGTTTTAGCTTGCCAATGGGTGGTGTTATCTCCATCATTAGCTAACACAGTCGAATCGCCCGGAGCACACTCAGTTATATTCGTGAAGATTGCTTTACCACACTCGGAAAGACTATCTTGGAACGATTCAGTTGTCTCATAAAGATTGAAGTGAACATCGGTTCCAGGCATAAGAGTATGCTCACCAGCATCTGGGTTACGTGAGCCCAACTCGATCTTGATTTTCTTAGGTTTCAGGCCTTTCATAGGACCTTGATGCATCACATGCAATCCGTCGGAGGTCAAATTGAAGGACAAGGTTTGATTCATGTAGTGAACACCATCGAAATACACTCCGCTGGGGAGAGTTTTGAGTTTGATGGGGTCCAATTTAAGGAAGCGAATGATTTTTCCATCCTCAGTTTTGTGGGAGAAGCGAAGACCCAAAAGCCCCTGGAGAATGGCTTGAAGGAAACCGCCATGAGCCGTCATGAAAGGGAATGCCGGGTGAGTTCCTCCGTTGGTCAAGTAGTCATCACTGTTCTGCTCAGAGAACTGAGCGAAAGGACCTCGCAAAAATGGCTGAATAGCTTTGACAAGGTATGTATCAGCGGAGCAGCCTCGTTCCAGAAGTGCAGATGATACAATCGAAAAGATCGGGAACGTCATGGCGGGCCCGAAGCTCACCTGCTTCATGGAGGCATACTCCATACTTGCTCTTGCCAGTTCCTGGGTAATCATTTCATTTTCCAATGGATATGTTATCATAACGACATCCGCCTGCTTAATGCCAATCGATGAATTCATGCCAGTAAACTCCAAAATGATATTTGGATCGTCAGCAGATCTTGGAAGATGCACATTATTCATGATATCATTGTAAGCCTTTGGAACCGGCTTTCCTAGATGCTCGCTCACAGCAGCGGCCCACTTGAACGTCGCAGATATAGCAGCATTGGTATAAGCACCATTGTCAACATGATTAGCGTATTCATCGGGATCAGTCAAATTATGTGTTGTGTACGCTTGCAATGTTTCGTTGTACTCAACATAGTCAGCAAAGAAGGCAGCGGCGTCGTTGATCAAGGGGTAAGCCAGATGCTCCAAAAAGTAATCGTCGACTGCTCCACTCTTGAATAATTCCCATGCAGAGCTAGCAACAGCCATATTGATATGATACTCGTAGTCAAAGCAAGGGCCAGTGCTAGTGCAATTGCCAAATCTACCACTGGTCCATGGGAAAGCTGCGCCATGCATGTCTTTCTTTGGGGCATAATCACTTTCGATGTTCTTGCGAGCCTGTTCATGGGTGTGAAGACGATAATTGACGAAAGAACGAGCGTGAGAAGGGCTGAACGGAAGAAGTCCGTTCATCATCCAGAGATCTGTGTCCCAAAACACCATGCCGCCATATGAGTCAGACGAAAGGCCGGTTACACCCATTGCAGCTGTGAGTCCAGAGGCATCATCTCTGGTGTTTGCATTCAAGTGGTAGATGGAAGCTCTTGCGGCTAGTGTTAAAAGCGGATCGTCAGGGAACTCAACTTTGAGGCCATCATCGACAGTCTTCGACCACTCGCTAGCATGACTTTCAAGAAGCAGTTCAAACAGCTCCTTTTCAAGAGCCACAGAACGAGCTTCGCGTAGCACCGCATCAAAGGAGCCAAATTTGTTTGGATCCAAATCGGATGTCACCACACCCACATGCTTTGTAGCCTCAATTGAAGATCCTTCTGGCACTTCAAATGTGATGCGCTGGCCCAGCGAGTAGTGACTGGTTGTGAATTCAGATCCGGTGCAATGAGCTTCGGATTTATCATAACGAATGGCAGAATAAGTAGCTCCGTAGACGTAATCGATATCGTTGGGCGAATAAAGCATGTATATCGCTTTGCTTGATTTATCGACTGAGGTTTCCTGAAAGCGAGCTCTCTGAGCAGTTTCGAAATCCAAAGAGTCAAGCACATCAACGGTAATGTTGTTTCCACCAATATTTTGCACCTTCAAGTCGACGAGTCCCAACGAGATTTTGCTACGATGGGCCAAAACCGAGTAAGTAACTTGCAACGATCCTAACCAAGTAAATGACGTAGTGACAACTCCAGTGGCCAAGGACAAATTCTGGGCATAGTTTGTAATTTCGCCAAACTTTGCAGGGTCATTGCTGGGATCCAAAGAGTAGGCCTTTCCTCCTACCTTGGCGCTCAACGTCAAGGAGGTCCATTGAGGAACAGCCGCCACTACACTTTCGTATCCATCCTGCAAAAGCCATGGAAAGTTAGTCAGGGTGGTATTCTCCTGAATGTTGTAGAATCCTGCCACAAAGGCTCCCGAGTATCTCCGATTGAATAAAGGCCACCCATTCAGTAAATCAGAAGGAAGCTCAGCATCAGGTGTTCCAGGGTCCACAACAGTGCCATTGTTTAATGTGTCATACGCAAACCCTTGACCCAAATTGGGGATTCTGCTTCCTAAATAGCCGTTGGCAACGTAAGGTTGGCGTTGATATTGATGGTATGGAACCCAGTCCAATGTACCCAAGGTTTGAGCATCCTTATCATAAAACGCGTTATCAGCAAACAGCAACTTCGTGAAGATTTCCTTATTCTCACGAGATTGAACCAACTCCTCCAAGCTGTCAAGGCCTGAATTCTCTACCCTTCTCAGGGGTGGAGTCCTCACATAGATCGGGAACCCGACCAGAGGGACCGAAAGAAGGAGGGTGCAAACAAGAATGAAAGTGGCAAGCACCATAAGGTAATGTATACGATGGGAAGGCCGTCGTAAAAGCTGTATAAAGTTTCTATTCATGGCGGTGTCTTTACGTATTTATAGAAAAGCCGGGGTATTCTGGGGAAGGTATAGTGAGGTATGGTGCAGGTTAGGAGCCGTATAAGATTATGCTTTCTAGATTGTTTACGGAACGCACTTTTACGAAGATCACGAGAGGGTTATGCTGCTAAGTGCCGCTTGGGTTTTCTATTTATACATAGTATAGTACAGTTCCTAATATACATTCGTCTGTCATCACTCACTGGCGCAAGTCAACTCGAGAAATGCCCCGTAGAAGCTCTCTGGCACCAATTTTCGTCACCTCCTCGCTATGGCGACCCCTTTCCATAAAGTCTTTGACAATTTGGGTTACTTGAGGAGCAAGCAGCTCGTTCTTAATCTTCCCAACAAGTTCAACACTCTTGCTGAGTTGATATGCCGTATGGAACAATTGCGCCATATTCGTCTCGAGTTTCTCCGAGACACCCGCTTCCACCTGCTGCACATGCTGTGAAAGCGCCTCGAGATGCTCTTCTTGGAGCACAGCTCCGAGCGCCGGGTCCTTCTGTTTCACGTATTCCTTGAACTCGCGGCTATACTTGCCTTCTTCGTCCTCATTATTGACGCCTAAGCCTTCAAGAGGCTTGACGCTTGCGTCAAAGGCATTTTGCCAAAGGACTTTCTCTTGCCGTAGTTCTCGTAGCTTTTGTTGGAAGACCTCGACGCTTTCGCGATTAGCATCATTAAGCGGGTTACTCTTGATGATGCGTTTGCCTTGTAGTTCGGCCGTGTCAAACCGCCTTGCCAGAAGCCAGCTGGTGTCAATTTTTTTACCCACCAAATCTTCCAAAATCTCACTTTGGATAACTTTAGCAATTCCTTTCGCCGTATCGGTTTCAGGCCCGTCCTTTTCACGATCTTGTTGAAGTTTTTTCTTGAAACACCACACGAGAATTTGACGCATGCGTGATGGTCCAGGCAAGGATCCATCAACAACCTTGAAGTAGTCCCTCGCAGACATCTCGTCATGGGGCTTTGCAACAAACCCGTTCCCTACTGACAGTACCCTCTTGCCTCGATTACTGTAAGAGCTTCGCCTCACTGGACCAGGGCGCTCACTGTCAGTAAGCTGTAAGGTATGCTGGGAATGCTGTTCAACGTATTCGTCGTCGTCTTCGACCTGCTTCTTGCGGCGTTTCTTTGGAAGCGTTTCGCTTTTCTCCTTTTGGCGAGGCGCTTTGAGCCGTCTCGGCAGTCGAGCGTCTTCAATGTCGTCAAATCTGAATGGTTTCGTATTTTCGGGCAGCTCGAGCAGCTTAGTGGCTCGCTTGAGCATTGACTTTGGTGTGCTTGCTTCGTGGATGGGGGCTTGTGGACTTGCAGCGGCCTTTTTCGGTTTTCGTCCTCGTTTAGCTGGTTTTTTGATTGGGGTTGTATCTGGGCTTGGATCTTCGTCTTCTTTCGGGGGTTCCTGGGAATTGGAGAACATAGCTTTTAGACTGTTGGTGCCTCCTAAGATCGATCTGGTCTTCTTCGACGGCTGAGCTCTCTTTTTTTGAGGGGTATCATCAGCTACAGAATCGTCAGAATCCAGAGGGAAAAAGTGGGCAGTGGACCTCGGAGCATTGTGTTTGATCCCGGGTAGTTTGGAAACCCTGGACAGGCCATTGGCCCTCAGTGCCGCCTGTTTTCTTGGGGGCATGATAATGATGTCAAGTTATGCTGCATTAATAGATAGCTGATATGGTCAGCTTAATAGGGGAAGTGCGTAGCTGTTGAAGGGTGTGTGGGTGTAAAGATTTAGTAGGACGCTGTTTGTTTATGGGTTGTGATGGTGAGTAGTAGTAGGTTTCATGTGCAGGTCATTGATACGGAAGCAGATGACTCGGGTTTGCCAAAGTGACTTGGGGGTAAGTTCTTCAAAGATTATCGTTTCCTTAAGAATTTGAAGAATGGGAGATTATGTGTGAGTTTGAGCTCTGCTTTTGAGTCTCCTCGATTAGGAGATATGGCCGCGAAAGACTGTGGGGTTGTTACACTTATAACCAAGGGGACGAAATGGATAAATAATTTAAGAATGAAAGCCATATAAAGTTGAATGATGTCTCCAATCATCAAAATGATCCTTCTGTGACATCTACTTTGCAGCTCGTGTATAGCTGCACCTATCTCATCACCATTGTACACACTGCGCTACTACACATCAACAAACAGATCTCCACAACGATCGATTTTCCATAAGACCCCCACCCACTGACTTTTTGACAATTGAGCACCGAAGTTGCATAATTGCCTGTATTATAAACTTATTGAATTATATGTCTGTGGCTCTCTCTGAATGTGGTCACTATGTGGCTCACACTGAAGGTACCTCCATCTCCATCCATAGCATACTGCCGGAAATCCAGCTTCGAAGCTATAACTGTACCAAAGATATTCTGAAGCATTTAAATGTCTCGATTGTCAACGAAATCGTCTTCAAAGTTGAGGACGTGTACTGGGAATCCGTTGATTCTTCCAACAAATCAACAAAGGTCGCTGTGTCAGTTTCTTCTATGACATTCAGCGCAGCACTCATTTATGACATCACGAGAACTGGTGATCCGATTATAATAGAGCTGGAATCACCTATATCACGCGTGTCGTGGATACTAGGGGCCCCAGACGAGGGAAGTGCTTACAAGAACTGTACCCAATTGGTGCTTTTCGATAAGTACGGTTTGCTTGCACGTGTTTATTCTCTTGATTGTACAAGGGTTTTATTTACCATACCCAAACCGATTGTTCAGGGTGTATTGGAAAGACCTAAGCACCCAGAGTTCTGGTCTCTTCTACTGACATCGTATTACGACAAGAATCTGACGTCTCGTTCGATCTTAATAGATCTTCAATCTGATAGTCGTCCTTACTTGCTCCATTTCAACAATGTTTTCTCAAGAAGTGCCCTACTAGCATCGTTGGAGATGGACCATCAGCCGTCTCCATCGGCTGAGATAACTTGGGATCCTGAAGGCAGATGGTTGTGCTTTTTTGACTCGGGAGACACCCTATTTGGTTACTCCGTTAGGGTATACAACAGCTTAGGGCTCTATAAAAGATCCGGAAGTTTGAATGAAACCCACTTGGCCCTGCCAATACTACACTCCACTCACACTAAGGGCATAGGATGGACTTTTTCATGGTTGAACATTGAAAACCTGCTATTTATAGCTGCTATTCCATCCCGCTCCAACAAGAGGCTTGATCTCCGTGTCCACGGTGTCAGTCACTTGTCTCATTGTTACCCTGCTGCTGTTGACCTCGAGCAAGCCGATACCATCTGGGTTTATGAAGATTTTGATGGAGACGGCTCCTATAGACGAACTGATGCATTGCCAGAGGCCGAGTTTGAATGGAGGACAATAAAGGATAGTGGAGTCCATCTCGTTCTTGCTACGGGGAGTGTTATTGCTATTATAAGGCGCACGTCCCATGGACCGCTAGTCAAATTCGAGCCGGAGGCATACATCTCCTCACTGCGGTACAAGGATATTCATTTCTATCAGAACAGCATTGTTCTTCTTTTTCAAGACCATGTGGCGGTTTACGAAGCCGGAAACTTGTCAATTCTAGCCAACAGCAGGTACTCGTTGGTATCGATGAAGGTCACGGAGAGTTCAGGAACTCGAACGATAAGCTTGGTCGAGCAGACTCCGCAAGGACAGACCTGGCGTCAAATTGGCCAGGAACCTCAGCATGACGACAGCATGCTGATCCTCGACAAGATGTCTTACAGAGAAGACAGTAGCAAGGTGGTGAACCTTGTTAAGGAGGTGGAGAGAAACGAGTGGGGAAGGGCCGCTAGACGGCGACTCACAGAAGACACCGATACCTTCAAGCTAAACTTCAAAAGGCGCAGACCCCCTGGGCTTCCCGAACTACACTAATATCATCGTATGGAAGTATTATGCTATGTACATGATCACGTTCAACTCTTCTTCTTCTTTGGAGCACCCTTGTTTCTCTTCTTACGGTCCACGACCATCCTGAGTCTCTCCTCCTCGCGAGGATCGACCAAGTCCAACTCAGGGAACCATTTCTTGAAGTCCTTAAAGGTGGGCATGGCGTCGTTGTTACCGTACCACGACAAGAGCTTAGGGCCCTTCAACGGCTGCCTCAATATCTTGTTTCCATTTCTGACATGATGAGGGTTGTAAGTCTCCCCGAATATCAGGGCCAGAAGCTTCTTAACCTGGGCCAACCGCGTCTTGGACGGCAAGGATTTTAGAAGCGACATTGGTGGTTTGAGATCATAGAAAAATTTGGCTAAGTAGTAGGTGCACAATGCAGGTCAGACCGAGCCAGAGGGCACCGGACCAGGGGTATTAAAAGAGGGTCGGGAAGAAAGTTTTTTGATTCTTTTTCTGATAAACAAGTTTTTGAAGATGTTGAAAAGCTTAATTTTTGGAAAAGCACATTTTCGTTGACGACCTATACTTGCTGGCGTTTGAAGCACCCACCTGGTACCGTTTCGCAGCCACTACAAAGCCTATCATCCGTGCCGTACGTCAAAATATCCTTCGATCCATCGTTTCTTTTGTAAAGTAGTAACAGTTCTATGAATCTGAAAAGTAAACCTGAAAAATTGTTCCCTGAACTTTCTCTCTTTTGTGTCCTGCGGCAATGTCGGTGCCGATGCTTAATATAGCCGCGGTGGGCTGAGCAGTACGTCTATAGGCATATCCAGATCATCAAGAACCTCAGATTAGAAAATCCACATCTCGAGCTCAGCCAGACCACAATCCCTCAAAAACCTGTCCCTTTTCCTCTTTTCCTACCCTTCATCCCCTCCTAGTGTACCTGTGGTCCTTTGGGATACTGGTGCAGATAATTCGCAGCATCTCAGGATAAGCCCCAGCCTCGATACACCTTAGGCCAGAAGCTCTACACCAACATGTCTATTCCGGGGATCCGTATCCAAGAAGCCGGTCTGGACGAGGAGTCAGACGGCCAGTACCATGTACAAAATCCATTTGTGACTTCCAGCGAGCGGAGAGCCCGGGAGTCTAGGGAATACAGACGAAGAACCCGACTGCTGATACCTTCAAGGAAGCTGGACACTTCTTCTTTGGAGCCCATCTCGCGATCCACCTCCGTAAATAGAGCCTTGCCTGACTACGTCGAGGAGCATGTGCCGCCGGAGGACTTTGACTTTTTGGATCACGCTGTGGACTCCGACTTCCAGGCGGTCCAAGACGGAATAAGCTACGCCTTGGGCTCCAAGGATCAACTGGGGACATGGAAAGTGGGCTCGAGTCCGAAAGAGGAACTACCGGACGAAACAAACTACTTTGATCGTTACCCCGAAACGCATCCCGATTACACCCCAGACAAGGACTTGACGTATGACATTCCGTTGATCACATTCAACCAGCCCGATTCGTCGCCTCCTGCGTCAGGCAGACCACAGTTGAAGCTTTCAACACAAGACTTGGACGTGTTGGAAGCGGGCGCCTACAAAACGCTGCCCAAACCGCCTCAATCACCATCGAAACTTCCTGGCATATTCACAAGAATGTCTAACAGAATCGCCGGTGACAACAACCCTCCTCCTACTCCCAGCACAGATAAACACACGTCGTTCAATGACCTCTTGAACCCCGTGCCATCGCCGAAGTCGGCCACATCACCCAAATCTACAACCCAGGATCTGTATTTTGGCGACGCTCGGTCTGAAAACTACAGCGACGCTCAAAGTGGCCAGCTGGTAGCAGAAGAGTCCATCAGGTCCGGCCCTACGCTATCAACGGAAGGTAATGTGAACATTAGTAACCCCACGCTTCAAAGAACACATTCGGAAGCTAGACTGGGTATCAACGTCGGAACTGCTCCTGTCACGGCGGCAGCGGCTCCTCTTTTTTCGTCATCAAGAAGAACGGAGAGGTTTGATCATCTTTACCTTTATGGTAACTCGTTGGGTATCTTTAGCAAGACCAACAAGCTACGTATCATGTGCCACCGATTGCTGTCGCATCCAATGACGAGTCCAGGTCTCCTATTGTTACTTATATTTCAGACTGTCTTACTATCTTACAGAGAGTGGAACCCTGAAGCCTTGGATGGGTACTACTATTCAGGTTACAATTGGGCTGACTATATTTTAATGGGTATCAACATTGTTTACACGGCAGAAATCTTTGCTAAAATCGTTGCATATGGCTTCATCTCTGACAGAGTCATGTTCGATGAGTTGGGCTTAGAATATCCTCTGACGGGATTTATCCTGTCGGCGAAAAACATTGTTAACAACATCCCATTCACATCCATCATCCAAAACACATTCTACAAGAGAAAGTTGAAGGCGCGTATGCTGGCATACCCTTCTGATCTCAATGGTAAAGATGATAGATTTCTGCCCGAAGCACAGTATGATCACCATGCTTCTCATAGTCGCCAAAGCTCATCATCTGCTGCATCCATCACAGAAGACGCCCAGCCAAACAGAAACTTCAAATCCCACAACACATTTTTGCAGTCTACAAAGATAAGAAGAAAAGTCGACGAGATGAATTTGCATCGTGCTTATCTACGCACAAGTTGGCAGGTCATTGATTTCATCTCGATGGTTTGTTTTTGGATCTCTCTTCCATTGTCCATCAACCACTACGATGCCAAGCACCATATCTTTCACTTCAGAGCACTCAGCTGTCTAAGGATCTTGCGTCTTTGTAACTTGACCACTGGTACGAATATCATTCTTCGTGCTATCCATTCCGCCATTCCACAGCTTGTTGATGTTTCGCTTTTCATTTGTTGTTTTTGGGTAATTTTTGGTATTGTTGGAGTTCAGTCTTTCAAGTCCTCATTGAGTCGTCATTGTCAATGGACAAACCCAGATGACCCCACCGAAACGTATCTCAACTCAGATCTGTATTGTGGGTCATTCATTGGTAGGGACGGGTTTGTCCGATCTTACCTTGAAAGAGATGGATCGTCTTCAGGCGACATTAAGGGATTCCGCTGCCCAATGTACTCCGTTTGCCAATCTGGTGAAAACCCGTACGGCGGTACTGTTAATTTTGACAATATCTTGCAATCGATGCAATTGGTGTTCGTCATCATGAGTGCAAACACTTTCACGGATCTCATGTATTATACCATGGACTCAGACAACATTGGATCCTCGTTATTTTTCATCTTCGCCATCTTCATTTTAACTGTTTGGTTGTTGAACGTCTTTATTGCAGTTATCGTTACTTCTTTCAACATTGCTCAAATGGAAGATGCTGAAGACAAGAAAAGAAAAGATGAGGGTCGCAGAACATCTTTGCTTGCAATCTTCGGCTTCAATGATAAACTTCATAACCAGAAAGTTTATCCTTTGATCCAAAAAAGAGCTTACTTGAGGTTTTACTACAAGCTCGAAATATTCTTTGTGATACTTATCGCGGCAGATTTGATTATCCAAGCCCTCAGGCAACAGGGAATGTCTGATAGTAGGGCGCATGGTCTTTACCGATTCGAAGCGGCAGTGACAGCGACTTTATTTGCAGAGATTGTCATCAGATTTGCTCTCTACTACCCCCATTACCGCGTCTTCTTCATGTCAAGAAGAAACTCCTTCGACTTGTTTTTGGCGATTGCTACCGGAATTATTGTTTTAGGACCAGTCAAATCACACCTTGGGCACGCATATTATTGGTTAACAGTGTTCCAAATTGCAAGGTTTTATAGAGTGGTTCTTGCAGTTGGAATTACCAGAAACCTCTGGATGAAGCTCACGAATAATATCAAGGCCATCTTTGATTTGGCATTGTTCTACTACATTTTGTTGTTCCTTCTGAGTATCATTTTGACGCGTTACTTTGAAGGAACCGCTGGTTTAGCAGAGACCACAGAAGACTTCTTTGGATCCATGTACACATTACCCAATTCTTTCATGTCACTTTACGTGATTACAACCACTGAAAATTGGACCTCCACTGTTTATGGCTTACAAGAGAATGCCAAATCAGTAGCTCTGAGGGCTTTTGGAACCGTCTTCTTGTACATTTGGTTCGTTATGTCTAACACCGTTATCTTGGGTATTTTCATTGCGGTTATCGCGAGAACCTTGGAAGTGTCAGAAGAGGGCAAACGCAAACAGCAGTTGGTACAGTTCATCGAGGATATGACAAAACGTCTTCAAAGTGTTTCCAGTGAGACCGGTCTTCTTTCCAAAATGAAACAAAAGGTTTTCAAAAGAAAAGATGATAAGAATGTTGAGCGGGCGATCACTAATCTTTTGTTGTCAGGAACTGCAGTGAATGAGTTTTTAGAAAAGGATATTGAGCCAGAGGAAGTTGATAATGAGGAGATGAGACCACTTCCAAGAAATCCAGTGCAGAGATGGCTTGCTATCAACTTTGCAAGAATGTCTGATCTCGTTAAGAACCCATTTTATGCATCGAAGAAGAAAACTACTCCGCTTGAGAGCTTCGACCCAGCACAATTCGCAAGGAATGTTATCACTGAAAGAAACCAGCTTGTCAATCAGCAAGACAAATATTTGAGAGAAAATCCGATGTTTAACACGGTCTTCTACATGTTGGGTCCACGTCACAGATTGAGGAGGTTTTGTCAACGTCTTGTTTTCTCAAGTCACGGCGAAAGAATTGATGGCGTTGAGCCGAACAAGACTGTGGGAGAGATCTTCATCGCTTTCATGTTCCTCTCTACCGTGGGAATTGTTGTGACAACCTGTGTCCTCACACCTTTGTTCAGGAGAGACATCATGAATGATCAGGGTAAATGGAATTGGGCTTTCTTTGTCGATGCCGTTTTCATCACAATTTTTACATCTGAGTTATTCATCAAGATTACTGCAGACGGAATAATTTTCACGCCGAACGCATATATGAGATCGTCATGGAATTGGATCGATCTTATTGCATTGACTTCATTGTGGATTGAATTCATATCGGTGTTAAAAAATGATGGTCACTTATCCAGAATTGTTCGTGGTTTGAAGGCATTGAGAGCTCTTAGATTGTTAACAATTTCTGAAAGAGCGAAAAGTAACTTCCATTACACCATGATTTCTGGTTTCGGGAAAATCATGAGTGCAGCCCTTATCTCCATTACATTATTGTTTCCCTTTTCCCTTTGGGGTCTTAACATCTTCAATGGCAGACTTGGAAGCTGTACCAATGATGCACTTCATGACTATGAGTGCTTCAATGAGTTCTCTAATGAAATATTCAATTGGGAAGTTGTTTCACCTAACGCCTATGTGGAACCATTTCTCAATCTCAATGACTTTGCTACTTCCATTTCTACCCTTTACCAAATTGTCTCTTTAGAGGGTTGGACAGAATTGCTTATGCAAGTGATGCTGAGCACAGGAGAAGGGTCACCTCCAGAGTTATTTGCATCTCCTTTTAATGGAGTGTTCGTCATCCTATTCAATAACGTGAGTATTGTCTTTATCTTGACATTGTTTGTCTCTGTGATCATCGATAACTACTCACGTGTGACGGGACGGGCCTATTTGACGAAGAACCAGATTCAGTGGTATCAAGTGAAGAAGTTTTTAAAACAAGTGCGCCCATCCAAGAGGAAGGATTTGTCGTCGTTGACAGGTTTTAAGAGGATCTGCTACAACCTTGCCGTCGAGAAAAATACTGTTTGGTGGCAGATAATGAGCACATGCCTTTTCCTCCATATTCTCGCCTTGCTAGTTGAAACATTCCCAGAAGCTGGGGGACTTAATCTCGGTCGTTACATCTTCTTGATGATTTCTTCCACTGTCTTCACAATGAACTCAATCATGTTGGCATATGCCCTTGGATACAAGAGTTTTGCTGCAAACAAATGGAACATTTTCCAGGCCTTCGTCTCCATTGGCGCTTGCGTCACAACTATTCTTTCATTCCCAATTGACTCCGGCTCCGTTTTCATTAACTTCAACAAATTGTTCTTGGTTGCCATGCTTATTTTCATTTTCCCAAGAAGCAATAAGTTATCTCAACTTTTGCGGTTTGCTTCAGCGTCATTCCCATCATTAGCATCCTTGATCTTCACATGGTTTGTTGTCTTCATGGTATATGCCATTGCGATGAATCAAATTTTTGGTATGACCAAGACCGGATCGAACACAACTGGAAACATCAACTTACGGTCAGTTCCAAAAGCATTGATCTTATTATTCAGATGCTCATTTGGAGAAGGCTGGAACGATATCATGAGTGATTTCCTCGTGGAGGCTCCTTTCTGTACTGCTGATCAGACAATTGATGATTCAGATTGCGGAAGTCAACAGTACGCGTACATCTTGTTCATGTCATGGAATGTCATATCGATGTATATTTTCGTCAATCTTTTCGTTTCATTGATCTTGGACAGTTTCAGTTACATCAACTCCGGATCTGATTATGTTGATTTAATTAGTCGAGAGGAAATCAGAAAGTTCAAGAGAGCTTGGCAGAAGTTTGACCCTAACGGAACAGGATTCATCAAGCCATACGATTTACCTAAGTTCTTACACTCCCTTACTGGGTCATTGAGTTTCCGATTCTACTCCGGAGATTTGTCGATTCCGGAGCTCTGCCATAGATGGATTAAGAGGAACAACCCTCATGATCTATATGATGTCACTGTGAATTATGATGAAGTCGAGAGGATTACCAATCGAATGGATATTCCAAAAATTCAGGAGAGGAGAAAAGAGTACGAGAGATTCTTGGAGGAAGCACTTATGAACATGGAAGTGCACGACGAGCCAGGAATTTCCTTCACACGTATTCTCCTTCAGATCCCTCTTTACAACTCTTTCGATGCTGGCCAATGTCTCATCCTTCTCGACTTCTTAGACAGAAGGCTCTTCTACCAAAAGCTTGAGAAGAGAATGAAGGTGAAGAGAGTTTACGAAACTATTGCAGCTTTTACCTGCCGCTGGAAGTATGTGGAGAACCAGAGACATGGCGTCCGTGACACCAACATTGGTTTCGACACAGAGCTCAGGAGAACCAGCTATTTCGTAAACGAGGACCTTTCATCCACAAAAGAGCCACTTGATGTACATGACGAGGTCAGTGTTTCCGATACAGAAGACGAGTCCTACTCAGATTCGGAAACGGCCCCCTTGAGCAAAGACCACCACAAAGCACGCAAGGGCGACTATTATATTCCTAAATCACCAGTTCATCTTTTGAAGGGCATGGAGAGGTTTGGCCATGATCATGATCACCTTCACCAACCATTTGATGATTCACACTCAGTGTCTCAATTAAGCCCATCTATCGGTCGGCTGCCTCCATGGGAAGCTACCGGTCATGGCGACGATAGGAGCAACCTATCTGCACTTGATCTTTCTACAATCGGAGAGACTTTGGAAAACAGTAGCTGGGCAGATGCATACAGAGAAGTTACAAGCAAGGGATCCTCGTCCCATAAGGACACCTCCCGCCGTGCATCCAGTTACGGGCTGGAGTATTCATACCGAAGCCGTACGGACGAAGACAAGAAATCTTCTTAAATACTTATAGAATAAATTTGCATTACCGTTATATTAATTTACAAAACTCCCGTAGTACCTAATCAGCCTTCATGTCGTTCAAACCCAATTCCTCGTTCTGGTCGTGAGTTCTCTCGAAGTCCTCGATCAACATGTTTGGATCGTTATCGGGAGCATACACGTTCTGAATGTACGAAGAGGCCAAGGGGTCTTCCATGTTGATGGTGAAACCAATCTTTCCCTCATTGGCGTCTTGCAACTTGGCGAAAAATGATGTCCATCTCTGTTTGGTCTCTTCGTCCATAGAATCAGAAGTCTGAGTGAAAACTCTGGAATGCAATTCCTCGTAGACCTGGGTCAACAAGCCCTCGATGGTAGTGAACCTGCCACCCAATGTTCCTGGAGTCAAGTCCAAGTTCAACTCTGGGATTCTCAAACCACAGGTCTCGGACTTCAAAATGTCTCTGGCCAAGTCCTCAGGGTCTGTGATTTTAAGGGTGATTCTCTTACCCTTTTCTGGAATGGCACCTCCAGTCTTGACCTCGTTGGACTTGTAGCCACACTTATCACATACAGTAGACATGATGATAACGTCCTTGAAATGAGGAATGTTGACTGTCTTCATGTGTGTCTCACAAGGAGCAGCACAAGCGGAGCATGTGGCATGGAATGTCTGAACCTCGTTCTCGAAGTTCTCGATCTCACTCTCAGTAGCGAAACCGGATGCTGTAGGCTGGTGGGATTCAGTGTTGTTCAAAGATGAGGAAACATTCTGGTCAGTGGCATCTTTCTTCTGCTTCAGTTCAGCCAATCTCTGCTGCGCAACATCGTCAGCAGAAATCAATCCCAAAAAGACGTTCTGCTCAGCAGTCCTGTTGTACTCGTACATGGACCACTTGTGGGCAGCCTGACCAGGCTGGTACTCAACCCACGAGTTTCCAGCAGGATCGTCAACGTAGAATGTGAGAGGCAAGTTCTCGCCAGCAAGCAAGGCTTTAACCTTGGCAATGAACTCATTGATTTTCTCGTAAACTTCGGGTTGAGCCTCCTTACGAGCTTCCTGGTCCATCTCCAAGTTGGCGATCATCTCAGTAAGAAGACCCTCGATGTTAGTCAACTGGCCACGCTCAGGTGGGATCTCAAGCTCAATCTCGCTGAAAGTACAAGTGGCAGTCTCAGACTTGACCACTTGTCTGGAGAAGTCCTCCTTGGACTCGATCTTGAAGTTGTATCTGGAACCCTTTTCAGCAATCTGAGCAGCGGCCTGGATCTCGGAGTTTCTGAAGCCACAGTGGGGGCATGCAAAGGACATGACAATTATCTCCCTGAAGAAGGGAATCTTCGTGAGAAGCATCCTTGTGCAACCGTTCTTGTGGCATCTCATACACATGGACTCGACTTCCTGGACAGGATGGCCCTGTGCATCGGAAATACCGGTCTGGGTGACGGAGTTGGCCTGATCACCGACAGAGGCGAAGTTCTCCTGATTCTCTGGCATGTCTAGTCTCGGTTTCTTGTCGTCAGAGGACAGCGAAGGTGAGGTCTCGTCTTGTCTTTTCATTGAAGATTCTCGAAACCAGACTTTTTCCACCCGATGCTCTTCTCACGCCAAATGCAGGCCGTTAGTAAGCTAGACTAGGAGAAGATGCTAGAAGAATGGCCGTGCTACGAGGCGTAAAAGGAAGAGAGTTTTTTTATTCAACTCATTGCCTGACTTTGAAAATGTCGTTTGAGTTGTGTTTCAAAGCCCACGTTTGATAACGAAGGCGGTCCTCTTTCTACTTAGCTCCAAGTAACCCAACCCCCATTTTTCAAAAGATGGAAGTTTTAGAGACATCACAATAATCGAAATCGATTGGCCAAATATTCTTACCAGAATCTCTACATTCTTGCGTTTATGATGTGCAGCAAAGCGTTATCTCTGTAATGGCTGATGCTCGCTTTGCGGTATAGTGGTTATCAAGTAGCTCCCATCGTAACCAAACACAACCACCCGAGAAATTGAAATCGAATAATAAGAAGGTTCGATCGTATAATGAACGATCAATGCATTTTCTATTTCTCTGACAACACAGCATGTAGTTGGGTCTTCAAAGCAGAGCACGACACAAGCGTTCTGAATTCGACAACAGTGTAATGCAAATTCCCTTACATCATATAGTAGCGAAAAAAATTCGAATCGACTCATCATCTGTCGTACGCCGAGGAAGCATCTCGCACTCAATGTCTTGGCTATTTCCAACCAACGCTCAATGAATTGAAAAACTAGCATAAATGAGGAAGACACCACAACGTCGTGAAGTCAAACAAAAAATCGTCTATCGTAGCAACAACCGCAATTTTGTGTACCCTTCGAAGCTTTACGAGAAACTTTATTCTAAAAGGCACTTACCTTCGAACATCACTCCCGAACAGTTGCCTACAAATGCCGCTTACTTTTACCTCTTTCGCAGCCATGCTCAGCGCTCCGAAGGTTGGAAGATCTTGCGGATGATGAGTAATGTAAAGCACCTTTTTACACCAAAATAAGAAAACCCAAATTTACAGTAGCTTCTGAAACAACTTTCGTTCTCTTTTTCAAACATTCCCGCCTCCCGCATTGTTCAAACCTTAAATCTAACATCGTTCCTTGCCCAGTGACTTCCCCAGAGTCCGCGCAGTCCTCTGTCTAGGAAAAACGGCTCGAGCCACAATAACCACACCTACTTTTCCTTTTCCTTGCATCGCCTACAAACCCACCATGAATCTCCACGACGTGTGTTCCTCTGATGACTCAGAGGAGACAACCAAGCACCTCGACCTGATTCTCAATAAGGGCCTTTCCAGAACCACTAAGGCACCGAAAGCTGAAAACCAGCTATCCATACGGCAGAGCGCCTGGAAAGAATCCACGGCTGAAATCACTCCTCAACCGGAAGACCAGTCTCCTTTGCCCCCACCAGCTCCCGCTACAGAGGACATGTCCGTAGTGACGCCATTTTTGGCAAAGCACATTGCTGACCACAATAATATCCCATCCGACAACTTCCACAGGTACTGCTACAGACATAACCCAGAGATCATGTGTAACAAGCAGGCGGACGCCGCCAAAATGAAACACATACAACAAGAGCTAGAAAAACTTCCTTCACGAGACCAGGAAGCCATCTCCCATGTGTGGTCCATCTTCTCAGCTGCTCCTCACTCCCATCGGTCCTTGATCCTCCGAGGTTTGCTTACACAGTGTTGTTTCCCGCAGCTCTCCACCATTTCCCAAGAGATCAGCCAGCTTATTCGTATCGACTTTATTGCTACCCTTCCTGTTGAGATTTCTTTGAAGATTCTTTGCTACTTGGATTGCAAGTCACTATGTAACGCAGCCCAGGTCTCTCGAAAGTGGAAAGAACTCGCCGATGACGACCGCGTTTGGCACCACATGTGTGAGCAGCACATCGACAGGAAATGCCCCAATTGTGGTTGGGGTCTTCCGCTTATGCATATGAAGAGGGCTCGTGAGTATAATAACGAGGAAGAGGGATCTGGCTCGAATAAGCGCCGGAAAGCAGAATGCAAGAAACGTCCATGGAAATCGGTCTACAGTGAGAGGTATCAGTTGGAGAAAAACTGGAGAAATGGTAGTTATGTGCTCAAGACGTTTCAGGGCCACAAGGATGGAATCACCTGTCTTCAGTTCAACAGAAAGTATCTTATGTCCGGCTCATATGACGCTACTATCAAAATCTGGAATGTGGACACTGGTGAATGTATAAAGACTTTGGCGGGCCACTCGAAAGGAGTACGTGCATTGGCGTTTGATTCGCAAAAGCTCATTACCGGCGGCCTTGATTCAACTGTCAAGGTATGGAACTACCACTCTGGCAAATGCATAGCAACCTACAGAGGTCACGAGGACGCAGTGTCCAGTGTGGACTTCTCTGGTAAAACTATCGTTTCAGGATCAGCTGATTGCACTGTGAAAGTTTGGCACGTTGATTCTAGAACCTGTTTCACACTTCGTGGACATAGTGATTGCGTTAACTGCGTGAAGATCCACGAACCATCAAACACGGTCTTTAGTGCCTCAGATGATACAACCGTCAAAATGTGGGATTTGAACAACAACCAATGTCTCCGAGTTTTCGGAGGTATCGAAAACAATGGTCATGTCGGTCAAGTCGAAACTGTAATTCCTTTCAAATATCTTAGCGGTGATCTCATCGAGGACGACAATGACAGTGATTCAGACAATACGGGCAATCATTTACGTCATCAGCAGCATCAATACGAACAACAAACCCAGCATCAAAATCAACAGGGAGCTTCCAGCCAAGAGAGGCCCGGGCCCGAACCCCTTCCAGATCTTCCAGAAGGGCAAGATTATCCTACACATCTTTTGACGTCTTCATTAGATAATACCATCAAGTTGTGGGATGTAAAGACCGGCAAATGCGTGAGAACTCAGTTCGGTCACATTGAAGGAGTCTGGTCCATCAGCGCAGACACCTTCAGAATTGTCAGTGGAGCTCATGATCGGTTGGTTAAGGTCTGGGATCTTCAAGACGGTAAATGCTTACATACTTTTGGTAACAATGCTAGTGTGAGCTGCGTGGGCTTGTCAAGCAACAACTTTGTTGCAGGTTTGGAGAACGGTATGATCAAGATGTACAATTTTCAATGCTAATGCTACATAATTTGGGAAGTCGCAAGAAGGAACGGTCAATTCTGTGACGATATATATAAGGGTAAAAATATGAGATAATATTAAAAACTATTATCGTAGAAATAAAAATGCAATGACATTGAGATTCAGCGAGCAATCATTTCCGTAAAAATGAGGATACGGTGAAAGCACTGTCGTTGTCCGAACATCTTTCGGGTCCAACCTGCTTCGGATCCAACTGCGAAAGTGTTGTCAGCGTAGCATCGGTGGAAGCCTCACTTGAGGGGGAAGTGAAGAAGCAATACGATTCCAAAAGCTCCTTATAAGACTTCAGATTAATAGGGCTCAGAATGTTGTCGGAAAGACGAACGGAGGGTTCATCGTGCAATTGATGAGAAGGGACCACACCTTCCATAGGAGATGGGTCATCAGCCACCAATGTCAGATCTGTTGCGATCAGATCGAAATGTTGAGGATGCCGAGAATGATGCTTATTCTTATCAGAATTAAGCGTCTTGTGCAGATAACGATGTCCTGAGTGGCCCTTGAGATTGTCTTGATCGTCATAGAGTGCGTCGCCACGATTATTTTTGATGCTGGAGAACAAAGGCGAGGAAAGGTAGAACCCATTGCTCTCAAAATCGTTCTTTTCAGCCGGCTTATCTTTGGGATCCAGGGTCTTCAAGTTTGGTTCCGAATTGAACCGCTTCAAGTAATGGGATGAGTATTTTGGCCTTTGGCTGTGTGCCTCCGGCTTTGAGCGAGCCGTTTTGGGAGGAACCATGCCACCTCCACGAAGCCGAGGAGTTTGCTTTTTATCGTCAGCGACAAAGTCTGGACCAGCCAGCTGCTCGCCGGAGCGGATCGTCTTTTTGATCTTGATCAGGTAGTCCTTTCCACCATTGTTATCCCAGAATTCGTGTCCAGGGACAGAGTAGCGGATGCACAAGTGGTACAGTTTCAGATGCTCTCTGGTGAACAGATCTGAGTTGTCTCTCGTGTGGAAAGAGTTGAACATGGAATCAAGCGGAATCTTGAAGACAAACCGGTCGTAGTTATTTTTACGCAAAGACACCGGAATATCGGGTACATAGATAGTTGGAATCTCGACAATGGTGGCCCACTTGTCCAAGGTATAACGTACCGTGACGGTCTTTTCATAGGCGATGTTGCTGACGGCGATGTGGCCCAAGAGGAAGCGCTTGTCGATAGAGACAAAGACCCTTTCGAGGAAGACAGGAGGCCTAATGGCGGATATGCGGTCGTGAAGCAGCGTTGAAGGGAAGTTGATGACTTTCACATCCCAGTCAATGAGCCGACCGTGATGGGGTGTAGGGTATTTGGTGATGGCGGCCGAGGAGCGGCGGGGATCGACGTGGGAGTTCAACTCTTCGTCAAAGTACTCGAAGTCTTGGGAAAGTTCGTCATCGTCGCTATCCGGTACGAGAGCAGGTGAGTTCAGAGCCAGAATGGCTGTGGGCCGGTCTTTTTTGGAGAAATAGCGAATATCGGCATTGCCGCCAAAATGAACCAGCTTGAATGACGGCGTCGAAGGTAGAGACTTTGATCTGGAGGTCCCTTCCTTGAGCAGACTTTTCACAATCTCACCCAGCTTCTTGCGGACCAAGCGGTAGCCGTCCATCAGGGCTCTCCGCAGCAGAGAAGCCGAATCCGGATGGGAAGGAGCCGGGGAGGTATCGTCGATGTGGGCATTGGCAATCAGGTTTCGTCTTGTAGGGTCGCTGGCTTTGCGGAACTGGTCTCCGGAACGCAGCGGCTTGTGCATGAACCTCATGGAAAGCGGAACGTCTTCTTCAGAAGAAACAGAGCTCAGCTTCGAACCAGGCGTATGGCTCGAGTAGGCGGCATGGGAGGACCTGAAGTAGCCGTCCAGGGTATAGGGCTCGGTAGCACTGAGGATCTGGGACTGAGCAGACATGTCCAAAGAACTAGGCGCAATTGAAGAAGACACAGCCAGGGCCGGGTCAGGTATATCTGGCGGTTGTGGGCCAAGGCGGTCTGCAGTACCTAGGGTGGTCATGATGAAGTGATGCAGAGGACCTGCTCTTCTGGGGGAGCTTAGTGCACTTTTTGATTAGGTTATCGGAGTCGCCAGGCAGTCCGAGCTCGCGGCTCAGCTAGATGGGTCCACGGAGGCGGGGCAGGGAGGGGACTTTTTTTGGAAAAAAAATGAAAAATTTGGAATTCCGGAAATTCCTTAGTTTTCGTCGCCTCCACAGCAAACGTCAATTCGTCACAACCCACCCTATTGTCCATGATTTACGTTCCGTTGCTGGGCTGCGCAACCCGGGGTGATGGTGCTCGGAGTGGCCGGCATGGGGAGATGGATCTCACGCCATGGATCTGCTGATGCCCTGCCGAGGAAGAAGGCCCCAGCCGAGCCGTTTTCGGCCTAGCGGTTAAAATGGCTCACGCCAGCGTTCGTAATTTGCAAAATTGACAGGCCAAGAGGCGCCGCTCAGGGGCTTGATGGGAATTGCATGCCCCCCGCCGCACGCCAAATATACCGCGCACTGGGATAATCGTGCAGGTGTTTTGCAGCCATTTTTCTCAGGCAATTTCAACCAGGTATGCTCCGGAATAGGCCGACCCAAAGGAGTAGCAGACGGCTCCACCGCCTATAAGGTGGTTTGCAAACGACGCAGAACCGAGAAAAACGGGGTTGGTCTGCCACACGGATTGTGGGATTTTCACTTTTTGGAGGCTCCAGGTGAGGGTGTTCACCACCAAGACAGTGGTGTTCTGGTCCTGGAGAACCAGTCCAGCGCCGCCAACAACAACCAAAAGGTTTTTCTCGAGGAAGGCATGGCATCCAATCCGGGCAAGCTGCGGCAGCAGCAAGACGGGTTCCACTATCACGGCGTCGTTGGTCACCTTGTATCGGTACACCTCGCTGTTGATGAGCGGTTCGACAACGCTGGACATGCCGCCAACAATGTAGCCAATCAGCTGCTCGGGATCGAACGTAAGGGCGCAGCTGGCGAGCTTGGGGATATCGCCGAGGATTCGGAGTGTGGTTATTTCTGAATCGGTGATCTCCACAAACTGGCCCTCACCAAAAACGAGAACCTTGCCTGGTTCCGTGCAAATGGCGCTGTGGCGGTACATGGGGAAAGGAAGGGACCCTGTTTTCGTCCATTTTTTGCTTTCAATGTGGAGAGTCCAGATATCGTCAAAGGCGAGTCCGGGACGGCCTCTGCCTCCGGTCAAAACAAGGGTTCCATTCTGAGCGTTTGTGAGAGTGTGACACATACGAGGCGAAGGTCCCTCGAAGGTTTGAAGCACCGATTTGTTTCCATCGTTGTCAATATGTAGGGTTTCGTTGGTACGGCTCTGCCACATTCCGCCGTGGACAATGCACCCACCGTCGGTTTCACTGGCTGCGGGAAACTTGAGTTCAAGGTCGAGTTCATGGTGCTGGAGCGTTACATCTTCATTGAAACCCGTGATTTCATCCTTCTCGTGATGCTTTCTAAACGCAAGCTTTGTCGAATTCGTAGCGTGAATCACCACATAGTGCTGACAGAAAACGATAAACTCTTCCCACTCATCGAAAGCCTCCACCTCGTCCACAGCCTTTTTCTTGTCCCGTGATACAAGTTCGTTCCAGCATTCAAACAAATCTCTGATCTCGACGTCGGGAAAGTACTGGCGGAACCGCTCTGTTTGCTTCTCCTTGGTGCTGTATGTCTCCACACACTGGAGTGGTGAACGAAGATGACTAAAGTGGTATAACATCTTTTTGGCAAAGAAGTGCTGTGGACCGGAAGGCATGATTTGCTCGAGAACAAGAAAATGGGAGTCTTCCACCTGCGCCGAGATCTCAATCACCGGATTGGCGTCTTCAGGCTTCATATAAGCCAACGACACTTCTGCTATGAATATCGTGGGACCGGCTCCTTTAGGCAAAAGCGACTCCAATTGTTTTTTATAAAGCTCTGTATTCTTCAAATCGCAGCCAACAAGCTTGTATTTTGGCGTGGCCATAACAATGCCCATGTTCTTCTGCACCGGTGTGATCTCGTTCTTGTCACCCACAACCAGCAAGATCTCAGGTGCCTCGTTCATGACAGCCAATTTTCTTTGCACAAGCTCCGGATAATCAAAATCGTAGAATTCATAATTTCCGCCCTGTTCCAAAAGCTGGAACGGAAGTACGTCAAACCCACAGCCTAGGTTCACTATACGCACTGGCTGATCCGGGTACTGATCTCTGATTCTGAAGATCATCTGCTTAATGCTCTCTACTCGAATCCAGTAGCCCCTGTTGATAGCGGGCGATCTTCGTTTGGCCTTGGGTACAAAGAACTTGATCCATTCACTCAGCTCTGGTTCGAGGATTGGGTTGTAGATGGCTTCCACAGAGCGTTTGGACATGATGGAGGAATTGTTGGTGCCTTGGACTTGCAAGTCATGATAGGCAAGTCTCCTTTTATCCTTTTCTATCTTCCTTCTATTATTGGCGAGGATCTCCTCGGGTGTTGCGGGCATGCTTAAGTAGTAGTATCGATGATCATCGGATTTTTTCACTCGCAGCCAGCCTAAGTACTATCAGTGTGGGGTCGATCAATAGGCTTTTCAGTTACATTGCTTATGTTTCCATTAGGTTTGCTCTGCTTACTATATATACTCTATCCCACATGCTTATAGACCACCAGTGCCCTTGAATGCCTTCTTCAACTCAGCATCTGCGCTCTCTTGCTTCACGTTCTGACACGCCTGGAGGTACCGGGCAGCCGCTATCGTGAGTCTCATGTCCTTTACAGTGACTTCCTGCTTGTCCATGTCGACATCATCGTCATTCTCGGCCTCCGTGTTCTTGGTCGTGAGCCCCTCACCTACCTTGAGCCAGATTCTACCATTGATACCAATTGCAATCTCGAAAGCGCACTTGGCGGCAAGCTTCTCCAAGAAGATGTTGCTCTTGTTGAAAAGCAATTCTCTTGCAAAGTTGAGGTTGACTTCGAAAAGAAACCCACTGTCGTCAAGGGGTCCAAACCCACCTTCTTTACCGGTCTCTGGATCTATGCACTCGATTTCAATGTCGACTTCTGGATTCGCCTCGCTGACTCTAGCATAAACGGCTTGGCCGATCTTGAGATTAGGACGGTTCTTTTTGCTTGCGTTGGGGAATGCCATCATGGAAAGTTGAACCTGCTGCGAGAAGTCTTGTAGGGATATCTTGAAAAAGTCACTGTAAGCGCCAGTTACCACTCCCACAACGAAATCATTAACTTGAGGTGTGTATCTTTTGGAGTTTGATTCGATGTAGAGAAGCTTGTCTGTTGTGTTCTTCTTGCCTATCGATTTAAGGTAGCCTGACAGCAGAGGAATGATATCTTGCGTTTTGGGGTTTTTGTAGATGCCTGGACCAATGGTGATATTGCCATCCTCTGGAATTTCAGAAGACAACTGGTCTCCCGGTATTATTATTTTGCTCATGGGTTGATGGAATAGAACTAGTTCAGTATATATGTGCATATCGCGATGCCTACTTATAGTCGGTGAGGTACAGGTGTGCCATAATGGCTGCAAAATACCAACTACTCTAAGACGCGAGAAAATCTACGAACTCACCCTTACTCTTTATCAAAAGAAGAATTGTTCATTAAATACCAAATACAAGGTATGGGACTATGTAACATTTCGAGAACGGCTGGAGTTGAACTCAGCGATGCGTGGGTGTAGATGATGGAGATGATGACGGGGATGCAAGTTGGCGATTTATTATTAAAAGATACCCTGGAGAATTCCTTTACGATCTTCGAAATATCTTTTCAATTCATCGATGGAATACTCTTGTTTCTCCGAGCGTTCCTTGACAAGAGGTGCATAATCATATTGACAGGAGAAGTCTGGACGAAGCTGAATCTCGTGGCGGTAATCAAAAACGTCGAAATGTTCACTATGATGATGCATCTCTATCTGGGATTCGTCGGGCCGTGTGAACACAGCACATGCAGATGGGTCTTTAAGGATGGAATCGTAATGGCCATGGATTTGCCGGGCGTAATGCTCGGGGCGTAATGCAAGGTTGTTGAAGCTCCTCACGGGGATCTCTAATGCATTCTTCATATGCCTAGCACTGAAGCGGTTGTTGGAATTGAGATCCTCGAAGGGGCCCTTCCAGATGACATTGTTTTTGTAGAGCTTGAATCTCTTTTGGAAGAAACCATAGACACGCAAGGCGTAGACCATGTGTCTCCACAAGTACTCTGGAAGATTGGGGTCGTGGAATTCGTTAGGTTGTGGTTTGGTGACTTTACATTGTTCTCTGATCTGGAACGTGGGGTCCTCGAAACCCAAGGATAGAAGGTATCTTGCTGTGGGGAAAACAGCATCGAGCCCAACACCGATAGCGGCTCTGTACATCTTGACCGTGCACGAGAGACGCTCAAGGAATGCGTGGGCAGGGCTGCTTGTATCGCGATGATGAAACTTGGAAGGCATGAGGAACCACCATTTTCTTGCGGCATTGAACATCACCGAAGGTGGGTATGTGGTCACAAAATGCTCGTTTCTCGAAATGTAGACTATACTTAGGATGTGAGAATCGAGGAAGCTGAGCATCAGATGGCAAAAGTGTCTGAGTCTTTTGAAGTAGTAAACGTCTGCTTCGTTTGTGAGGATGACTGGGTTTACATCGAACAAGTTGCACAAGGCTTCAAGGTTCGAGCGCATTTCAAAGAGAAACGCTGGTTCGTAGGGTGGGAGATGAATGAATAGAATGTTCTCTGTCATGAAGCCGAGCCATTGGACACCGTCCCTCTCGCTCGTGCTGTGCTTGAGAGCGTAGCCAATGTACTCTTCAAAGATGATACTCTGGCCCACGAGGAAGGTGAAGACGATCGGGATCGAGCAGTCGAGGACCGAAAGTGAGCACGCCGAGAGCCAGTTAGCCAACACTAAGTAGAAGCGTTGTCTGTTGAGCTCGCTCAACGTGTGAATGTCCACCTCGAGATTTTCCCTGAAGATACGCATTGCTTCGGGAAACATCTGCCTCATGATATTGACGGCGGC